GAGGAGGCTGTATATTCAATGTATGCTAATAGCCAACCATGAGGAGATCTCCATGTCGGTATCGGCACGTGCACGGACCACCATGGCATTACATTTTGTTATAAACTTGTTGCATAAATTATAAATAGTATTAAGTATTTCGGTGCCAGCTAATTGGCGGAGCTTGCCGCCGCGATCCGGTTAATTGCCCATTAACATGGCTCTGACTCTGACTCGGACTCGGACTCGGACTCGGAAACCTTTGTTAACAAATTAAGCAATCAAAGCTATTATTAAATAAACCATAATTGAAATGCACCGCCATAGGCGATGGTTTTGGCCAAGGTTTTGTTATTTATTTGCCAACGCATAGTCGTCGTCGTCGTCGGAGGAGCATCCTCAGTTTGTGTTTATTTACAAGTCTACGATTTGCAATCACGCTAAGTAAAGCTGCCTTCATGCTCGGTTTGTCATTTGGCCAAAAACATACAAACCAGCCCATTCTAAACATAAAGTGGGGGGTACACCCCCTACATCATTATACTGTGGATGCACACACATCATCATTAGCCTTATCCGAATCGGAGCCTGTCATCTGCAACACAAGCGCCCGTAAAGTGGCCAACCTGGTTGGCTGCCTCTCCATTCTGCCACACTGGCATTATGGCAGCTTGTTGCAAATTTGAATTTTAATTCAACCTTCAACCGTGTGGCAGCAGAGAGGGAAAAAAAGGTAGCGTTTTTATCGCTACTCTGATGTTTGCCGGATGCAATTTCAATTTCCAATCACAGTCATATTACACGGCTTCATGGATTACAAGCTGTGATGGAGTTGGAGGTGGCTCATCCTCTTATTTCCCCTTCATTTCCCAGGCCTGCTTCTGCTTCCCACATATCCTGCTGCCTTAAACAGAAATTGATTCGAATGCGTGTATCTGTCGGATGCGGGCTTCCATCCTCATCCTCATCAAGAGGGGTTTTTATTCCTTATCGAGGCTCTTGATATATGTATGTGCTTTACTTTATCTTCCGCCAACGATTGCCCGAATTAATTTTCAACTAATTCTAGCCCTGATTAATGGGAAATATTCCCACTTGAACGATTGCACGAATGATTCATTTTTTTACAAATTACGATTATTTCTATAGAAGTGTCATTAAACGACTGATGGAAGAGATCAGTGTAGTTACGATGTGATAATTATATATTCCTAGAAATAGCATTTAAGAGGTAACCTTATAGATATTCTCTCCCCTCCAGTTTAGGGCCATCTCTTGTTAAGAAACCAAATCTGGTTTTAATTTCCTTAAGCACACATCATTAATACACACAATTCCTGTCTTCTTTTCGATAAACCATTTATAATCTGATTAATAGCACGCACCCCCACACCTCCCCCCTCGCAACAATATGCGGCATGTCAGGTGGCATGTTTGTTTTCACAACCTTATCTGAGAGCTCCTGGCCTGCTCTTCTGGCTCCTCACGGCCTTGCCGCCTTCAATATCCCCACTCTGGGAATTAATTAAATCGCGGCATAAATATTTTTCCTGTTCGCGCCGACTAAGACCTCGCCAATAGTATAGCTTTGACTTTGAAGTTTGATTATATACCCAGTGCGAGGGTCACTCCATGTCTTCCCCACTGCCAGACGTGGATTTGTGCAATATTTGCTGGCTGGAGACCTTTCGGCTGGAGAGGTCTTTAAACAAGGGACTATATATCTTAGAATAGGTATCTAGCCGTGTTTGATATGATTATGCATGTAGAGGGGCAGTGGTGGTGGCAAGGTGGCAGTCTAGCTTCTGCATTGTTCAAATATTTGTTGCACTGCCTGCCTGAGAGTCGTTGTTTGTTCGGCCGGTGAGTAAACAAGCCTATAGGCCTAGCCATGGGTGGTGTTGGTAATAAAAATCACGACATAAACAACCCAACCATAATAGCACCTGGAGAAAAATTCAACTAAAAATAGGTATATTACAAGATTAAAATAGGTTTAATGTTTGTAACAATAGCTCTTATTATAAAGAACAGGTAAGGCTAGAAATCAGATCTATATCTTAAAGATTAAAACCATATTTTATCTATAATATAGTACATTTTTCTTTTCTCTGCACTTGCAGTCTCTGCTGCTATTACATCCGCCCCGAACTTGGCCGGGCTGGTAATGTGATTATGCCATAAACCAATACGCACCGCCAACAACCATAGTGGAGGGGGCCATCTTACAGAGTCGCTGGCCATTGAAAGCCATCAGCATTCAAGGCGGTCAACTACGATATTGGTAGTGCCAATTGCTCGCTTACGTGCCTGGCCAAACGAGTTGAGTTTTGGGCCCCAAAAAAAAAATACAAGAAATTCGAAAACTGATGTCCAGACCAGGCCAGCTGGTGGAAGTCCAGTGGCAATTGCAACGGTTTACTTGTTGCCACTCCTGAACCCTGAACATGAAAACGTTGACAGGTTTTTCTTCTTTCCTCATGAGGCGACCTCATTCAGAAAAAAAAAAAAAAAGTTGCCGCCACTGTCGCTATTCATCAGGGGAGTTGTTATGCAAAAGCCAGCTTTGGTGGCATCTTCCTCTTCAGTCACTGATTGGCAGTCACATATTTAATATTTCCATAAATTAGTCGTGAGATCTTAAACAAGATCTGTTTAGATGGTGGATATGACTTTATATTTTAAAGCAGATTTAATCGAAATATCTGCCAACTTTTTAATTAAATCAGTTATCCAGCCAAGACTTATGCTGGCCTCTTCGATGCTGCAACTTCTTTGAAATGTTTGCCTTTGGCAGACAGCAATGCGGGTCCCATAACATCAACTTTGATATGTTTATGCCACAGAAGTGTGTGTGCTGCTGCTGGCTCACTAATATTTGTGTTTGCATTTGATGGCGATGTTTGCAGTCGAGCCTATTTGCATTATAAAGTGAGTTTACGACGCAACCTAAGCCTAGGCCTGAGCTTAAGCCTCCTAGTGCCCCTGGACTAATTCGAACACCGATTGAACATCGATTTTATCGTATCGTTTTGTATTTTTTTATGACATCCCCAGCCCGGCAGCAACAAAGGGTTCGCATCTGGCCTTCGCTGGAAGTTGGCCTAAAGCGGCGGAAATGTGTTGCCATCAATGCAATGTGGATGGCTTTGGCATGAAGGTGATTTTCAAGCGGGAAGGAGGTGGTGTGGGAGGTGGGAAAGTGTATCTATTGATGTCCTACCCATGTCGAGTCACCGTTTAGTGCAATTTACCAAAAATAACAATAATTGTATGACGAAATTGCAGGCCCAACATGGCACGCGTTTTGCATGCGACTCTCCTCCTAATCGCGCAATCTTCGACAGAAAGACAGACATATGGACACACACACGTACTCCATGGCACATGACCAATTTCTGTTGCCAACCCAGAGAGAGGGGGTAGAGAGAAAATAAGCTGCGCGCATGCGTAAGTCGGAGAGCGATCGCACGGCACTACTGGGCAGCAGCAGGTGGAGGAGAAAGTTTACATTGAAACCACTTTTTTTTTTTTTTTAACTTTTTTCGATGGGTATCTCTGCCTCTATTGTTGCTACACATATAAAGAGAGAGCCAGTCCAGGCCATAAAGCCAAAAGAAGAAGCGACCCGCCGATAAATGAAAATAAATTTGTTGAAAATTTCGACCAAAAGTTGGGCAAAGCCAGCGGTGAGAGCAAAAGTTATGAAATCGCCACAGCCGTCAATGGAATTCCAAGCCGAAATTCGTATCAATGTTGACACTATGGCGGTCAGCAACAAAGTGCTAACGAGGTATCTCCAATAAGAACAAGGTTATTCTACTAGAGATAAATATTTACAAAAATTACTTTATTTATTTGAAAAACTTCCTTGAAATACATCTCAATATTTAAATATTTTTATGAGCTAGTTTCCTGACCAGAGCTGTTTTCTTTTGAGCCGAGATATATACATATCTTTATGGTTAAGTATATGAATATATATATGGATACAAGAAATAAACTCTTTCGCAAGAGGAGGAGGCCTGGGGCAACTGGATTGGCTTGTAATTGAATAATATTTCTACTCGGCTTGCCACATAACGATCGCCAGTCAGCCACAATAACAACAATAACAACAACTATAGGAAAATATAGGAAGCGGCAATGCACTTGACAAAGCTGCTGCACTCGTTGCGGCTGCTGGTTTTAAGGCTTTTTTTTTTTAATTTTTTTTTGTTACTTCAGCGGCTGGCGGAGACTGTGTGGCATTTTTCACTTTTGCTTTTAATAGCCAGATGCCGCCGGGGCCTCATGGACCGGAGATGAAGTCGTCATCTGACGGCATTTCCTTCGGAATTTATTTTGGATTTTTGAAATTGCCGCTCTTCACATAACCGTTCAGGTTTTTATAGAGCATCCGCATCGGTATCTGACAGATATCTGTATCTCGAGTGTGACTGTGCGTATCTGTCGCAGCCAGATGTTGTTGCCCATCTCCCCATTTTTTTGGTAAACCGACCAAGGAAATCAACTGCCTGCCAATGCCACTTTCGACTACTTTCTTTCGAAGAAACGTGTCAGGAAATGAGAAAAAAAACATGCCACACATAGGGGGGGAATAACTAAGAATCCTTTAAATCCTCTTGGTAACCGATTCTATAATTAAAACACCAAATGTTTTCAATAAATATAAATTTATTTGTTAAGTTCTCTGTGGGTCAACCACTCGAGTGGCTAGCTGGTTGGGTTTCAAGAGCGGGGAAAAGAGAAAGTTGTCCAACATATGTTTCCGCTGCAGGCCAAGAACTTATTGCCGTCGCCGCCGACGTTCTGCCAGACATTTTTTGATAAGATTGGGCAGGGAGCCCAATTGCATAACTGGCGGCTAACCAAGCACCCAGTTGGTGGCTCGCATGCAGTAAGTAGATCGTTTCGAGAGAGACATTCCAATGGGAATGCCTGGGGTGGTGGTGTTGATAAGGTGGTGGACAAACCGCAGACACTAAGCTGGGGCACATGTAGCACAAAGTATTACTAACCTTTCTTTTCTGACGAGGAGGATCGGTTGAGGTTTTGGGGTGGCCGAGGGTCGTGTGGCTAATGGGTGTCACACGCCAAAGGTGTCCACAATAGAAATGGTAATGAGCTGGCTCCGGGCTTATCGGTCGGGACGCGGCGCGTCTTCTCTTGGAAAGAACCAACTTGTTTCGGCCAATTGCCACAATCACAGCCTCGAGTGCGTGCTAGTTCTCTTCGATTTGTCCACTTTTCGCAAACAAATCCACATAATTGGGTTCGCGGCGGGGCTGTTTGATTTACATTTATATAACCACTAATTGCGGCACTTTCGTTCGCCAACTTCGCGACTATTCGCGACCAATTCCGATTTCGATTTCTATTTTGTTTAACTAAAAAATTGTTAAACCCGAACACTTGGTCTCTTTGTTGTTGTTATTGATGTTGCGCGCACCCTCTGGTTGGAGCTAGTGGTTATTGGGGATGTTGCTGTTCGATTAGCACTCTGATCGGATCGGATCAACTGACTGGGTCCGCTACCCAGGAGCTATTAGATTGAAAACTAAACCAAAACAGGTAATTTGGTGCGTTTAGCTCTTCCGCGTACGGATGGACAACATGTTGTGGTCGAAATTTTATATCGAAATATCAATAAATATCGTTAAATATCAAGCGATAGTCAGCTGATTGTAACATGGTTCGTGTCTATGCTAAGGTGCATAGAGTTGGTGTGACCATATAACCAATAAAAGTTAAATTTTTTTATTTTAGAATATTTAGGATAAAAACCAATATTATTTATATACTTAATATTAAATAGTTATTTAAAAATGGCATAAAAAACGATTTAAAATTAAAACGTCAAGAAAACTAAAAAATACTAAAATACTCTCCGCTATGTTAACTTTGGTGCTGTTAACGCAATGTTCGGGTGCTGTCAATTTGACAGCTGCGTCGGCGATTGTGATTTGCAATTTTTGTAGTTTGGAATTATATTTTACAACAAAATCTGAATTTACTCAGAATATAACGCATATACGAACGTAGTTGCAATGTCCAACCCACAGGCAACAGTCACTGCCTACCTGGCGGCCCAAAAGAAGACCACAAACAAAGATCTCGCCGCCGAGTGGACGCTCATCGAGGAGCTCTACAACGAAAAGTGAGATTTACCAACCAAAAAGTACCTTAACAATATAATAATCAATATTTGCAGATTGTGGAATGAGCTGACCATCAAACTGATCACCTTTGTGCGCCACGAAACCCTCCAAGATGAGACGGCGTTGCTGCAGCTCTACCAGAACTTCCTGTCCACCTTCGAAACAAAGTAAGTCGGCGTCTTCCGATGACTCGGCAATATTAAACATAATTCTTTTTAGAATCAATCCCTACGGCCTGATCCAGATCCTGGAGGTGGTGGTAGACAACATTAGCGATAAGAAGGAGGCCATCGATTTTCTTGAGAAGATGAAGGACAAGGTTAAGATCTGCGATGAGGCCGTTTGGTATCTGCAGGTGATGCAGGGCAACCTTTACCTTAGCAACCTCAACGACCTGAATGCCACCAAGAAAATCATCGAGGAACTGCGCGACGTTCTCGAGGAAGCGGGCAACGTGACCCCCGTTCATGGAAAGTACTACATGCTGGCATCCCAGTACTACCGCCGTGTGGGCAAGCACAGCGACTACTACCGGTGCGGTCTACAGTTCCTCGGCTGCTCGCTGGAGGACTATCCGCGGGATCAGTGGCCGCAGCAGGCCTTCTTCCTTGGCTTGGCTGCCCTGCTGGGTGATGGCGTTTACAACATTGGGGAACTGCTGGCGCATCCCATCCTGGAGTCTCTAAAGGGCTCAGACAATGAGTGGCTGGTGGAGCTTCTGAAGGCCTTCAATTCGGGCGACATTAACAAGTGGGTGCCTTTTTTCATCATATTTGGAAATAAGTTACTTAAATATTCACTTTTTTTTATAAAAGATTCAACGATATGAAGAAAATCTGGTCCAAGATCCCCGATCTGGCTGCTCAGGAAGTCAAGCTGCGCCAAAAGATCTCCCTGCTCTGCCTCATGGAGATGACCTTTAAGCGATCAGCCATCGAGCGGGCCATTTCCTTCGCGGACATTGCCCAGGAAACCAAACTGCCCGCCAAGGAGGTCGAACTGCTGATCATGAAGGCCCTGGCTTTGGATCTGGTGCGCGGTGAGATCGATCAAGTAGCTGGAGTAGTTAACATGTCGTGGGTGCAACCCCGCGTCCTCAACCGCAACCAGATTGCCGGCATGGCCAGCACTCTGGACACCTGGATGGGCGCCATAACGAACATGGAGAAACTGATGGAGAATCGCGCCGCCGAAATTCTCACCAATTAGTAGTCGTAGGTTCTCAGTAAGAGTTTCGCCCGATCTTGATGGTCCCCTTATAATTTCCATTTGTCGCGAATGCTTTTGTATTTAATTAAAATCTAAAACACAATATTACTTCATTTGTTTTGGCTTTAATTTAGCTCCCTGACTGTTTCAAGTATAAAAATTGTATTGTGCTTACAGGCTCCTTAGTCTACCTTAGTGGCTAGATCAGATCACTTATCGAGGATTTTCTTACGGCTGCTTACGGGCTAGCTCTAGGGTTATGTACAAATTAAAATACATCAAATTTGGCGATAGACTCCTCAGGTTCTCTAAAAAGCTAAAATGTCGATCTTGAATTTGGAATTTGCTGTAGCAATAAACGCGGCTGGAGTATCACTTGCTGCTGCTTTGTCGGATTCGGTTCTGGATTCTGGATTGTCTTCACGGCGAAGTATAATCAACCCAGACACCAGCGATCAAATGTTGAGGCAGCGCAGCTTCGTTTCCGGCACACGGGAGGTGAACTCGAAGGACGGCGGGCGGCGGATATCTTCGTGGGAGTCGCGGCGTATCCGATCCGGGTTGCGGCCCATCACAGACGAGAGAGGTATTTCGCGGCGGTAAAGCTCTTGCAGGACTAGGCGCTCCAGCTGGAACAGGTGCTCATCCCACACGCCGGGTATCTCGTCGTGCATGAACATGGCTAGGCGCAACAGGTACTCGGCATTGTGGCCACTGGGTCCCCGGCAAGAGACAATTTGCTCAGCGATTTCCTCCACTGGCGACTCGCCCAGCCAATGGCAGTTCTCCGGCGTGGCCACGTAGACTAGCACCTCCACGGCTTCTCCACTGAACGGAGTGTCCTGGGATGCAACACGGGGAAAGAACTTGGTATCGATGGTAGCATAGCCTCCTGTTGGAATACCCTTGTGTTAGCTTTATATACTGGGTAAACTTTTATTGGAGACTTACCCAGGGTGCACTCTCGCTGCTTTAGGTAATCCAGAGCTGTGCTTCCTGTTATTCTATAGGCGCATCCCCAAGTTATGCCCTGCAATAATAAAAATAAAAATTTTTATTTAAAAAAATGTATAAAAAACCTAAACAGATGGTTAACATAAAAGTAAAAATAGCTCGCCCTCTCTGGGATTTGAACTCGTGCGAGTCGTGGTGCTATTCTTATCGTTCGCCGCCTCTTATAATTCTCAACCTCGTTTTCAGCCACTGGTAGCGTATAAATATCGCCCTGAGCAGCAAGTCTCCCGTGCGCTTCGAGTTTTTCATGCTTGTCTCTCGGGGCTACAAACGAGTTCCTGGTAACTCTATGAATCGCGCCCTGGGTAAAGTCCCCGGGTCTAGGATAGAAAGTATCAAGGTGTAAAAAGTGCATATGTGTGCATTCGCCTATATTTCGCGGAATCTCGCCAGGCGTTGTGATAAAGAGGGATCCGCAAGGATTCTGAATCGTTGCGTCCGGTTGTCTGCGGAAATCTGCCAGAGTTTCTCACCTCAGATATGGACGAGTTGGTAGGATCTCCTTTAACTCCTCGGAGTGGGGAGATAACCGCCTACACGGAATGGGGCTTACATTGAGAAATTTGAACAGCACATATTTTTTACAACCAACCCCCCCTATATTATGAAAATATAAATATTTTGCGTTCACTTACCTCTTTGTCCTCTACCAGCGTTGCAACACGTCCAGGCTGTAACAAAGAATGAAGGCACCTATTAGTACTCAAGTATAATTTATATATATTCTCCATATATTTATGGCGATTTTATTTATCGCGCCCACAAAGGCATGAGGGATAGGTTCCTCATCCATCTGATTGTTTACCTTCTGTATATACGCCTTATATATTTTATTTATACTTGGATCAGCGGACCTTGACTTATTTCGACATTGTTGCCTTTGGTCGTGTAATCGGAAATGTATTTCAGATTGCAGAGAGAGCATTGTAATAGGTATTATAAACCCACACCGGATGTACATATATTAAAACTATAATTTCCAAAACAAATATATACAAATGTATCTACAAAATCCAAAGTTGATATGAGACCTTTTCTTAGGGGCCTGTCCTGGACTCGTTTGTCCGGCAAGCAAATCAACTATGCTAATTGAGACGCAATCTGTATCTTAATTGGGAGCTAGGGAGTCGCTATACTCGCTGCTGAATACTAATTTCACTTGTTTTGAACGAGCTGATAAGACCGGGCGACAAGTAGATAACGCGTGCCAGGCCAAGTGATCATATTTGCACACACCCAGAGTCAACTCAGACGCGAAAATATTTATTATAAAGTGAAACAGCGGCCATAAAGCAATTACCAGATGGCTGCCACTAGTTAGAAAGTAAATATCAGACCCAGCCCTAGACGGTGACCAGACTGATCTCCCAGATAGTCGGGGTTTTGAAACCACATAGGGTGTGGTTAGAGGGTTAATCAAACTCACCTTTTCTTCACAGCCCCGGTGAGTGACGTTGCCCTGCCAGAATCGGCGAACATAGCCGCGAATATAGCCAGTAATGCACTTGCTGTGGGTGAAGCCGGGATACCAGCACAGTGATCCATATCCGAAGACCCAGCAGGCGATGTCCTCGTTACTGTTGTCATCGTGGCCGTTGTTGGGCCGGTTCTCCTGCTCGTTGTTGTCGCCGGGATTGTTGTTATCCTCGGCAGCTCCCAACTGGCCATTGGTGAAGAGATTTTTGAAATGGGCCGGCACCTCGGTCGGTTGGCGATGTCCACTAAAGTGCGCCATTGTCTGAGCCAGCACTTTCTGCGATCAGTTTCTGAATACTCGGGGGTAAAGCGGAGGGAATTTGCAGGACTATCTAGGTAGGTCTAGGTCTAGCTCCAGGTCGAGATCGGTATTCCTGTCCTGTGCGCTAATATCAGTGCATGTTGGTAGCGGCTATATCCGTTTCCTCTTGTTACATTTCCCGCCAGACAACGTCTCGACCTGTCCAGCGGCGATGCGATGGTGAGATTCTACGGATGGTGGGCCAAATTAAAGAGTTATTACATAAAAAATTTAATTTTTGTTTCCCTAGTTCCTAAGTATTAAAAGTATAAGTAGACGAATGAGAGCACCGGGCTTACTTGTGTCTGGATTATAAGGGGGGCGTGCTTGCTTATTAGTTGGGTTACGAGAGCGATGTTGTTTTGGATTTTTAGTCTTGGCGAATTAAACCCGCGAATGCGACCAAATAGTTCCGCGAGCGGCCGGGAACTAAAATGCCTGAAGCGAAAACCGAAAACATTTCCAACGAGCGCCAAGAGGAAGAGCGCCCGCCAGAGAAGCTAAATACAAATGCAAAAATATAAAAAATAAAAATGTAAAATAAATATTTATGACGCTCTGTCTGACTTATCTATAGCTCTGCTGGGCGAACGAGTATTTAAATTGGCGAAGCTCTCCCTCTCTCTCTCGGTCTGTGGTTTCCACACCCACTCCCACTCTCCCAGCCTAGTTCCACTATCAAAAGCGAGAACTAAGCCAACATCTTTGGGGCCTTGTATTACCTTTAGCAGTGAAGGTAAAGGTGACTTGCTGACCAGCACGTTCCATAAATACAATCAAACAATTAAATAAACTTAATTATTTATACACGTTATAAACGCTAAATAATACCCGATCATATAATGACCAAGCTGGAAAAAAGCTACGCATCGAAACAAACCCTTGAACTCAAGAATCGGCCGTAAATTCAAGTATTTAATAATTATAAATATATAAATGCCTTAAATTGCGGTTTGATTAAGGATTTTGTGAAGAATTGATTTTGGAAATTGCCAATCATGGGCCATAAAGATTCTTATCGTATTAATATTTACCGGCCAGACAGGGAAAGAGGCTAAAAAACAAATTCAATTTACTGATTTGCTTCACATGAGTTATTATTATTTTTTCCTGGATTTTCCTATTTGCAACTCATCTACAACTCATCTCTGCCCGGTAACAGGCCATTGTTTAACCAATTGTAACTATTACAGAGATTAGATCGAAACATCTACGCCATCAGGTGATAAGATTGGGGCTATAGTAGTATATAGTAGTAGGAATGATTTATAGCTCTTTTTGTTGAATGTTTTTCGAAATTTAGAATAAATCTAGCCTATAGGCTATTAATATGGTACTAGCTTCCGAGTACAAAGTCTCAGTTTAATAAAGTTTTATCGTAAAGCAAACTTATCTGAAGTTATTTATTTATAAAATACGTACTATGTACTTTAAAGGGTATTTCTTCTTAAGCACTGGCATATCTGGTTAGCTTTCTTTTAGGATTTATATTATTCTACATTCTAGCAAGATTTAATCTCATAGAGTACCCAAAGTTCCACATCAAATAATACTTGTTTCCTTAATTTTACTTTCGCAAGTTCAAGGCGGGGAGAGGGACCCGTGCTTGTGGTTTATTAAATATGTGTGACCGATCTTCTCACTGTGCTAACTACGCTGCTGCTCAAAACCAAATCATTTCAAATGGCCAACCGTACGTATACTTGATTTTGACGTTCGTACAATAGATGCTTGGCATGCGAGTCGGCTGCCACACCATCGTATCGTGATGGGACCCATTAAAGAGGCATGCTCGATATATATACGATATGTGTATGTATAGTACTTTGTACACATTTGTTTGTATTTTTAGCTATTTTATTTCGCTTTCTCATACACATACATTTATTTATTTATGCATAAACTTAAACATTTTGCACACTTTGTTTTGCTTGGCGTTTTTCAAAAAATGGAAAGGGAATTTGTGAGTATTTCTGTGTGAGTTCTGTTTTTATACTCTGTTTCTAAATACCAGTATTTTTGGCTTCTGTTTATTTATAATTTTCTTATCTGCTGCTTCGGGAGCGAGCCGCTTTTATTTTATATTTTGCATAAATATATTGACCCAAAAACAGGCTAGATGGTGGAAAATTACCGAAAAAAACGAGTTCAAAAACCTTTTACGCACATCCGCACGCACACACTCACAGATAATCGGGCAAAAACATGGCAGGCATCCGAAATCCTCACATAAATCCACACACCACCACACACTTTTCTTTTGCTTTTCTGCCTTGCCAGTCGGTTACGTATACGCAGCGTTGGCCAATGCTCGTTCGCAAATGAAAAACGTACCGATAGCTGCTGGCTATGCTTTCTGGGTCCTTGATACTGAACTTTTTTCATTGTGAAAGTTTTTTGCCAACGGTTCAAGGTTAGCAATTTTTCTTAGTTTGTTTATATAGGAATTTATAGTTTTTATTGAATGCGGGGGCGAAGGTGGCTACAACCGACAGAAGTGTGACGGGTAGGGGCGGGGTAAATCATTCAGCAAATCAAGTTGTTTTTTGGTGTCTGTTTCGGTAACAGGCGCATACCCTCAAAAATTCTGTGCTCCGTTTTTCCCTCTGTATACATAACAAAGCCTTAGGTACATTGATATCTCAGGCACATGAGCGTATGTATGGATACACGAGGGCATAAAAGTAACTTGGGTTGGATGCGGGGGGTGGGGGGACTTAAATTCGTTAAAAGCAACAAAGCACACGAACCCATAGAAAGACACGAATACTTCATGGCCCAACGCCTGTTTTTCTGTTTTAGGTTATAGGTTTGCCATGGGGCTTTACGTGCAGCTGTCTAAATTACTGTCTAGCTTATCTCATTTGCCGTCCCGGCATTTAACTTTCATCGCGCGACGACTACTGATCTCAATTGAGATAGACAGAGTGCTAAATGATTTAAATTGAGCAAACTCTCTATTATCGCCTAGGGAACTCGATCCCACGGCTCTTGGAAAATAAAAAATGCATTTATCAAAATAATAGACACGTTGTCAAATAGGTAATATTTTTAGGAAAAATATACATATTATTTAAAATTCTCTCCATAATCATAACTCCCAAATAAACAATTCTAATTTAATTATAAACCCACACCTTCTTCTCAAGTGCATTTTTTTCTGGGAAATTATACAATTATTTTGTTGAGAGCACTTGAAAATAAAATAATAAACTAGCCTACTTGGATTTTGGTTGATTATTAAACAATTAAAAATATATTTTATTTTATTGGACAACATTATGACCACCATCTCCTACGTGGCAATTAAATGTGTTCCGATTGCTTTTCCTCTCGGCCCTATCAAGATTGTTTGGCGGCCTAGACCGTATGTTATTGATAAATTAGCAAGTAGACCGACAAAAAATTCAAGTGTGTAATTTACAGTCGCGCGTTGGCCACTCTTATCGTCATATTATTTTGCTAATATGATAAGAGTTCATTATGGCTTCGTCTGGGAACGGCTCTTGGAGACGAAAGGCCTCTGATACGGTCGGCGTGTTATATAGACGAGTATGTATAAGATTACCCCCTCGAATCGGTATGATAAGAATTGTGAACTACAGAAAACCGGCTGATAAAAAGAGTTCGCCAGACAGTCCGGTCGGACAGTAGCGCGAAAGGTAAACAACATTTTTCGCTCTGGCCTGGGCCATACACAATTCTACACACATATCAATTAACACATCTGGCCTAATTTCTCGAGTTTATATAATGAATTCAACAACCAACCAACCAACCCCCGGTGTTGGTATTTTGCGCATTTTTATTTTATTTCCCAGCCCGTCGTCATTTTTAGTTAGTTGGCATACACGTGTGGCTCTCTCATTCGGCCAATTTTTTTCTTGGCCTCCCCCACGATGTTGATTTAAGACCAAAGACTATTATTAAAATCGGTGTATATATTTAACTTTATTGATGTTTGCCATTTAAAAATCTATATATAAAATTCTTGAGGAAGTTTGCTTTCCATCCGAAAGGTAAATGTTTAATTAGTTAAATCCAAAAGTCCTAATGTTTATTGTTGATGTTTGTCTTCTCATTTGAGAAACGATTATCTGATTTTAATGACTTTTTATTTAAATATTGATTCCCTTATAGTGGGAACATTATAATATCTGTCTCTTCGGGTGTGAATAAAACACCTTGAGGCTGATTTATTTAAATGGGTTAACTGCCTGCCACGCATTTAAAAATAACCCGTCAGCAAAGGCTGCAATAAAATGTATATAATTCTGTTATATAGGCACTAACTATATTCGGCATTCGAGTATTTGAAACTTTGGAATGCACCTGGCACGTGCCAAAAAATGAGACCCCAAGTGACTCGCTGATAATGTCTCAATTAATATATTTTTTTTATAAAATATGTCCATAATAGTTGTCATACGTATAGGCATATGTCATGGGGTCGGTTGACCTTGGGAGTGTGACACTGTGACAAAGATGCTGGTCGCGTAATGAAGAAGAGGAAGACAGTGAGTAATCCCAGCTGTTGAGAATGTAACGAATCGATAAGAACGACACCCTAACAAGCTCTTAACTTTCAAATCTTAAGTAATATTAAAAAAAAACACGATTTAAAACAAATCTATAAAATAAATCTAAAATAAATATGTCTTTAGTTTCTATTTTAAGTATTGTTACAAAATATATTATTCAAATGAAATTTCCCTCATTTAAGTGCTTTCGAAAAACAAAACAACTCAATTTCAAACTATTTTCAGGGTCTGGGAAATTGCATCAACGAGTTGCATGCTCAGTGACTTGGCAATCAATTAAATTAAAGTAGACTATTAAAAGGCCTGCAAGCACGCAGTATACAAAACAAAAAAACAAAAAACAAAAGCTAAAATAATTTAAAATCTGTTTTGATGTACCGATAGAGAGCGAAAGGGGGGCGAAAGAGAGCGCGCTTGTGATTGAGAGCTTGCGCAAAGACACAAACAAAATCCACCAACACACGCACAAAAACACTGATAAGCGCAGTTACAGCAACAACATGGCTGTAAGGCAAGAGCAAGGTAAATAAAACCAGAAGTGCACCTGTTCGTTAGTGTATGCACGTGTTGACACTGAAAGCTCTGCTGCTGCGAGTGACTTTTGGCACACTGACACACATTCTGGTGTCCCCCCGATCTTTCTGCATCCAACAACTGGATGCAGCAACAGCTAATTACCTGTACATTTGTGGCAGCTTTCACAGGTAACGGTTCGATTCGATCGCTTGTTTTTCACCTCGGCAGCTTATCAGTTTCCGTTCAACTTTTGCACTACACTTTTAGCTTGTTGATTCTATTTCTCTTCCGTTTTTTATCAGCATTTTCTATTCCGTTGCGACATGCTTCGCGCACTTTGTATTGTGAGCAATGAAAACAATAACAATGGCACTCGCCTTTCTCGACTGCGAAAGCAGATGCGAGCACTCCACAGTGAGACGTCCGTCTTCACCGACGGCTTTAATGTAAATGCGTGAATTGCGCTGTTTTTCCCCGCTCAAATAACGCTACAGAGTCTCCCCAGTTCCATCAGCAGCCCTCCGCGCACTGAAAAAAAATTATATAGATTTTCAGGTCTTTATTTTTGTATTTAATTGCTACTACAGTAAGTCATATAACTTTTTACATAATAATCACACATATTTGGATATATTAAATTGAATTTTCAAAATGTTTTAATTTTTTTCTTAGTGCACTCTCACCGCTTCTCTCTGTTGTCTCTCTGCTCGAAATTTCGCTGAGCGAGCATAAATTTTGTAAAAATATTTTTCTTTACAAACCTGTACCGGCATACATATTTACAAACATTAGGACAGTAAGTGATTATTTTCAGTTTTACTGAATTTTTTTGAGTCAGAATTTTAACAAGGCATTCAAAAACAAAGGACACAAAAACCAGTTGTGATAATAAAGCTTCAAGGATATGGGGATGCCCTCCCATTTACTCTTTCTCTCCCTCTCTTTGCGCATCTCTTTTACAGCCAACTCTCTCTCTTGCCAATGCATTGGCTGACGTAATTCATACGCACTGTTGCCGCATGCAACTTGCTTTTATGAATGGAAAGCAGAAAGCCCCAAGAAACAACAACTACAACATCAACTGCCACCTAGCAACAGGAAAGAACAACAGGTTAGATGCAAAAAATATTGCATCAATATTTTTGACTTGGATGATCGGACAATTAGTACACATGGCTGCCAATTCTCTGGCTAATTGCTTTAATTGGAAAGTGATGTGCCGCTTGTTCGATTCGGAAATGGCTGGCTGATGACATTGCCATCATCAGACCAACCTTCATTGGAGTTTGGTTCAGATACACATTTGTGCCTAGTCGGGTAAAAATAAACTAAAAACACAACTGATAGCGTCTGCACAAAGATTGTTCCAAATTGCGTCATTTAAGTTTGAGCAACAAATTTTAAAATGTTTTTTGTTTATCTTAGTAGATTATTAAAAATTAAAAACAAATAAAAACATTTAAAAATAAAAATACTACATTTTAGATAAAAATCAAATAAAAATCACCTACCTCATAGTTACATAGATACATTACCCTACTGCTTTTGGTCTCTCTATCTACATTTTACTCGTAATAAATAATTATTTTGTCATATTTAAGAAAAAAATTATTATTTAAAATTTAAATTTAAAGTTTAAGTGATGCCAGTACATCAAAAAAGGGGCTACCAAATGTTTAGAAAACGTTTGAATCTTTTTTGCAGGTTTTTGTCAAATCTAAGCATGACCACCAGATGGCGCTCTAAAACGCTGTGTAGAATTTAAGTGTATTATTGAATTTGAATTTGTTGGAAATCTGTTCCAATTTGGAAGAATATTAAGGCCTTATTATGCCTTGTACCTATAGCTCCTTCTCCTATGTACCTTTTTCTAAGTCTGTAATTTAGTAAGAAACAATTATTTCAATAGCCACAACAACCGAAAAACTATGCTACCATTTTGAATCTAGTAAAAAGAGTATTGTCGTTTTTAATAACTTCAACTTTTATTTTAAAAGAAAGTTTCTTCATTTTTCAAGTTTAAACTGCTGTATTTAGATATATTCAAAAACTTTCTTGTTTTGGTTTTTTAGGATAACAAGCTTTTAAGTATGCAGGATGTGCTATGTAAGGATGAGTTATGTATTCCTTTAAAAATATGTTTTTTGGTTAAGAAATATGGATGTAATTTCCCTGGAAATTAAAAGCATTCTTAATAATACTAGATACAGTAAAAATACCTTAAATAAATTTGAACATATTTTGATAATCCATAATGTTTCAGAAGATGAATTAGAAAATGCATTTTTTGGCGTACTCAGGCGGCTAATTCCCATGAGTCCACTAAATGATCAGATCCATGGAAAGGAAGACAGGCGACAATTATTAAATTTACAATTGGGATTATCGTGTGGCACAACAAATAGGCTCCGCCACCAAAATACCATCAGACCGAATCAAAACAAAACATCCATCAAAGTGCGAAGAGAAAACAAAAGTGAGGAAAGCGCCGCCAGAAAATCAAAATAAAATGGAAAGCAGGGAATGGAAAAATTAAAATGGGAAATGCTCGGTGAAAAACCACGAGCCTAAGACAAAAGATTTACAATATCGTTGGGGAAGATTTAAAGGTGATTTCCAAAGATATATATTGTGCTTGAGCAGCGATAAATAAACGGCCACTTTTTGACTATTTTTATTTTTTTTTCCTGTCGGTCTCTCTTATTTTATTTTTTTGCTCAATTTGATTTGGTCTTGAGAAGTGGATGCTTGGGTGGCGGGTGGCTGGGTGGCGGAGGGGTGGACGTGATAGAAAATGGGTGCCGGAGACAATTGGTGGGTGGGTTGGGTTATACAAATCCCCACTAAAAGTGTCACATTAACGAATTGCTCTGCTCCCCCACACAGCTAATTTATGCCTAGCACTAATCGCTGGGCAGGTAGGATCGAATTTATTTGATTCCTCTCCGGCAATAAATAAGCAAAAATAAGCCTTTCAAAAACATGCTTTTCATTGAGCGGAAAATCCACATGGCCACTCGTAAATACTTAATAGAAAATGGGAGGCGTGGCCTGCGACAACGTCCTTCTGCCTTAGGAACCCGCCAATGTTGTCTAATGGCGGTGCGGGTTTAAAAATAAAATTTTCGAAAACCACTCGAGAGCACGGACCCCATCAGCCACTCAAAAAGCAGCACGATCGGGAGCGGATAGTGGTGAGAACATCTGGGGCCCCGAGTAGGATCCGTTCTTGAAGTGCTCATCTCCGGCAGTGTCACCAAATGTGTTGCGTTTGCAGCGGATATCGGTTCGTAGGCTCAGCGACTCGGAAATCAATAAGAAGTCGGGAGTTACCAAATAAAAAATTTATTTAATCGATCGTTACCAAAATCGTAGATAAAAGTGTTATCAAAGTTTTAGAAAAGGGTTTTAAAATACCTTCAAGGTTTAAAGGAAATATTACACATTTTTGAAAACCTTTCAAAACCCAAGGTGAAAATCAAACCCAAGTGAAAATGACCAAATATAATAGTGCCTCAAGTGAAATGCCTGCCACACACAGCATCAAGCAGGAGTACAACAACAGCTACCAGCAACAATCTCATCCAGGATACGGATACCACAACTATCACCTCCAATCGCAGCCGCAGTCCCTGCATCCCAGCCAGAATCCACATCAGACACTGCAGAATTTCTTCAGCCGTTTCAATGCCGTCGGAGAGGCAGCAGGCAATGGGTCTGCATCTCTTTCCGCCACAGGATCCGCGTCATCCTGCAACTACAGCCATGGAAACCATCCGCCGGAAATGGACAAGCAAATGACTATGAACATGACGCCATCGCCGATTTACACCACGGATTACGATGACGAAAACAGCAGTCTCAGCTCCGAGGAGCATGTCCTGGCACCACTCGTCTGCGCCTCGGCCCAATCCTCCCGACCCTGCCTCACCTGGGCCTGCAAGGCGTGCAAGAAGAAGAGTGTCACCGTGGACCGACGGAAGGCGGCCACGATGAGAGAACGCCGAAGACTGAGGAAGGTGAGAGTTCATGACTGATTTTTTAAAATTAAAAAGGATTAAGAAAGGATTTGGATTCTTGGGTATTTTGGATAAGTTCTTGATTCAATTGACTTAAAAAAAAAAAAACTTTTCAAATCCAGGTTTTCTTACTTCTGTCTTAAAACTTTAAAATATTAAATGCCACTATATTGTTTTTGCTATTGATAAATATCAACATTAAATGATGTAACTAAACTTTATAATTAAATAAAATAAAATCGATAGCGTGCCGAAAATAAAAAGAAATATTGTAGAACTATCTTTCATTAATTTTAAAAGGATTCGAAAACAAGTTATGTTTAGGAGGATAAGATCGTATCTTACAAAAATTATTCTGCAAGGAAATCTAATAATGTTAACTTGATGACAATTAAACTAATATTTTACCACATCTTACTAATGTATATACTAACTATACTAATATATATTTTAGCTAAAGATGATTATATTCTTTAAATAATAACGAAAATGTACTAAAAAATGTGTGTATTGAAGATGATAACTTAAAGATATCGAAGTATCGGATAATTCTAGTATCGTAATCCATAGTATACTAATTCTTAATTTGCTTAAATATCTAAAAGTTGATAATGCCCTATGTTGTCATTATACTCAACTTAAGATCCACTACTATTGTCAAATACTTAAAATAGATAGCTCTAATCTTGGCCAATTTCATGCTGTTAATGGGGAGATACTTTGTTGCAATATTAAGAGAACAGCCCCGCCACACAAATTAACACATTGGCACATGCCACCGGGAACCTCCCACCACCAGGAAGGATACTGTGCCATAAAGAACTGAAGGGAAAACCACCCAACAAGCATAAAACATAAAGATTTGCCAAGACCAAGAGTTAAACAGCGGCATTTATGAGTTCGACAATCGTAAAAGTTTTGGATGAACCACACGTATTTATAGCACCACATGGAGACATTAACAGGGCGATGCAGGAAAAGGGGAAAAAGGGGCTCTAACACTCGGAGCTGTCATAAAGAGACAGACGACAGGCGAACGGTTTAATTGTTGAAAATTTTATGCTCTATTTAAGTTAAAATATGTTTTATTAAAGAGCCACTTAAAGAGGAACACGCCTGGGGCTGGGTGTTTTTACGATGCGCCTAATGGATATCCATGATTTCTACGATCGCTATTAATTGATGTATCTTTCTATACATTCTAGGTTAACGAGGCCTTTGAGATTCTGAAGCGGCGCACATCGTCCAATCCCAACCAGCGCCTGCCCAAGGTCGAAATCTTGCGCAATGCCATCGAGTACATTGAGAGCCTGGAGGATCTTCTTCAGGTATGTTCAATTATATCCCCCCATCCATTATAGTCCATATATTAGATTGTCAAACTTATTTTGTGGCTTTGTAGGAATCCACGCCCACTCGCGACACCGACAACCTGGCGCCGAGTTTAAGCGGCAAAAGCTGCCAGTCCGATTATCTGGTAAGTTTTTCACTGAACGCCAATTAATATTAAGAGTTTGAGGGCCGGGGAGCTCGTTCCGCAATTATTTTCTCGTAAAATTCTCATGCATGAGCAACGCTTTCATACATTTTTCTTTGGCGACGCGCACATTCATCAAAATCTCAGGGTCTGGCCGCTTTCTGGTCGAAACATGAAAATAGAATATATACGGGGCGGACATCGGTGGCATCGGCAACGAAGATCCCCAAACGTGGCTCCCATCCCATCCGATATCTATGCATTGCTGTTGTATCTGCTGACCAGAATTTATGCCTTCGCTGACGTGCGACTTAATAAGCTTCCAAGCACCCATTCAAAAAAAAAGTGAAATCCTCCTCCTGAGATTCTTCCGATTACGGTATCAAGAATTATGAATTATGGCGGAGTTGTAAGAGTCTCGCCTCCATCTGGCCAGGAAAGTTTATCCCCACCAAAAAACGAGGACAAATAGTTTGGGAATTTATGCAGCCGGAGAAAGGGTCGTTGCTTGTGCATTTAGTGGAGTGCAATAAATAAATTTTCTTTTTATAAGGCCTCCCCTTTTTGGCTATAAATGTAAATGGAAATCGTGTTGTAAATTAATTACAACAAATTCGTTTGCCGGAGGAGTTCTCCTTTTTGGTTGTGCCCGATTCTGTTCATGTTCGGGGGATTGAAGTGATCGCTTTCTGTTTCATAATAGTTTCCCGTTCGCCAGGGGGGAAACAAAAAGAAAATGTGTCAGTTGACAAATTGCACAGGAAAAACATGACAAGATCTTGGGGTGTTCTGTTGCTTCGAAAGGTGTTGCAAGACATGGCTCTAAGTGGGACGAGACGGCGGCCCGGGGGGCCTGACAGGCCAACAAATTGTGAACAATTATGCAAACATTTTTGCCATCTTCATACATATGGCGGATGGGGATATGGATCCTGAAGTCCCCCACTCTCTGGTCGGTCTGCGCTGAATAATTTCCATGCAGTTTGTTGAAGTTTTTCGCATTTTTAATGTACAAATTTGTTAATTTACCATAAAACTTTGCATATTTGTTTGCTGCAAGTACACCAGTACCCCTCCCCCACATTGGCAGATATTAATGTGCGGCCATAGTTTGATTAAAAACTGGCAGCCCGCCAAACGTGCAGACATTCAAATGCATCTCAGACCCTGGCCATCCATCCATCTCATCCCGTTTCCATCCATTCATTTTCTCGCTTCCCTGGAGCTTGTGTATTTATAAATCTCAACTGTTGATATCCCCGCATCACAGAATTAAGTGGAAGGCACTCCTCTTGAACAGTATCCAAGTCTCCAATGTGGGCTAATATTTGTTTATTATTCTCTGAAAGCGATCATACTCTTATCGCTGCCAATAAACTTTCGCACTTAAGCCAGTTGGCGTCTCGCGTGGCTGCAATCAAAAAATGCCTAACCGTCTATCAGGTGAATATCAACATACCTGGAACTCTACTCATTTAAGGGGGCTTCATCGAAACGTCAAATTGCATGTGACTCACATAAAGATGCGGGTAGCTCGGGTGCAAACAGTCCATTGATAAATGTACCCAGGTGTGACTCAGGTTCCCATAGGGTTTCCTTCAATTAAAATTATTACGGCAATGGCATACTTATATGTACATACAGGTAGAGATATGCTCTCTTATCATTTTTTGGAGTTTACAGCTCAATCAATTATAGAATAGTGATAGTAAAATTTCTGTTGAACTAGAAATCAGTAAATTTATTGGAAAAAAGAATTAACATTCCTGGACCTAGGTACTTTTTTCTATTTAATTTTGATTTGGTTCACAAGTTCTCGAAAAATGTTTGATTTTCCCAATACAACCTTGCCAACTTTGGCAGCAAATTGTAATATTTTCCCGCATGGATTTTCATGGATTATCAAAGTGACCGCCTCGTACATGAGAACATGGCAATATTTCCAAAGAGGGCTTAGGCCATCATAAGCATATTTCATGGGAAAAATTCATGTGGCTTGCTCATAACAAATCGCATAATGCCACATATCCGTTACATGCAGAACAGAAAATAAAATAAAACTTCTAAGAGGAACGCGCCAAAAAGCGGCTTATGATCTTTACGCAACCCATGGGACGAGGACGACGAAACGCTCAAGTGATAAGTGGCATTTCATTCAGATACAAAAACGCATGATATATGCCCGGGATGCCCGGGGAGAGAATACACCGAAATTCCATATAATAATGCCCGAGAAAAAGATACAGATACAGATACAAGTTGTCGCATATCGAGCGCATGCTGTCACTAAACGCTTGAAAATGATAAATCGCTTTATAAAAGTGCAGTGTGAGTTCTTGTGTTCCCGTTCAACTTAGTTCAGTTCACTTGGGTTGAATGTTGTGTTCTGTTGTTCGGCCTCCTCGTACTTTGTTGTTCTCTAAAGTGTATAAATAAACACACTATGAATTGCTCTGTATTTGCTTTTTGGCTTTCCCCCGATCCTTGCAGACGAAGTGACGGCATTGCTTTAGGGGGAAACCCACCCAGAAGTGGCAATTATAATTTGCTTAGCATCGGCGTTAAAGCAAATTTTTCTAATGAAATCTCGAGCGCATCTCCGTCTCTGTCTCCGGATGCCTTGTCGTCTGCGTATGCCCAGCAAAAATATTGCATCAAATTAATTTAATTGCTAATAAGTGTGTGCCTCACCCAGTACCCGGTACACAATGCCCCACCAGACAATGCAACACTGGTTGCAGCCACTTCTGGTTCAATGCATTTTAATTGGCCTGTGGAATCTTTTACTTGCTCCGCCACGGTGGCTGACATAAATTTTGGCTTAATCTCGTCATTAGACTGCATTTCGTATGGCATTTGTTGGCCAAAATGACAGGCCCCGGAAAGCTAGAGAGCCGTTTTGACGTTGTCATTTCGGCCGGCGACACATTTTTGTAATTTATCGTTTTCCCAATTTCATTGGAGGCCAACTAAAAGTCTCTACTTTATTTCAATCTTTCACAGAGCTCATATGCCGGGGCCTATCTCGAGGATAAACTCAATTTCTACAACAAGCATATGGAAAAGTATGGACAATTCGCAGGTAAGTGATAGGTTTAAAAAAATAATACATTACTATTTAATAATACAATGTCCCCTTTAGGAGACTTTGATGGAAATGCCAATGGCTCAAGCTTGGACTGTCTGAACCTCATTGTCCAGAGCATCAACAAAAGCACAACGAGTCCCATTCAGAACAAGACCATGCCCACATCCACAGATTCCAAAACGCCCCCTCCAACTACAGGATCTGCAGCCACAGGACCCACAGCTCTGAACTCGAACTTCAAGCGAAAATGCAGCACTTAGGTCTTCGAAAATGTTCCCAATTAGAAAATTGTAATGATATATTGTTAAGAGGATACACGAGATACCCAGTGACCCGAAATAGGCCTTAAATTATTTTTATAGCATTAGCACTTAATTAAATGGTAATCGAAATGAAAAGAGTCTTTAATTTAGTCCAGCTCCAGTTTGCGGAAGGATCCACTCATTCCGTCCAGTTCTCCGTTGGCCCAGGCACTGGCCAATCCCACACGAAGTTTTTCATTGGTTCCGTACTGGGCATCCTTGGCCAGATAGTCCTTGTACTCCTGCAGCTTTTGGCGCCAAAAATCGATGGCCTCTGCCTGGTAGCCATTGGTGCCTCCATACTCGATGGTCATGGCTTCTCGGGGCAGATGGTCGTACAGCTCCTCGGATTTTTTGTGGATAACAAACTAAAAAGACAATAAATTAGTTAAATGCTTTACAAAATTGAGTATAAAACCTTACCTTAAATGGCAGCTTGGAGGGCAAGAACTTGGTCACAAAATTGAATATACTTTGTCCTTCTTTCCGCATATTGATCATATGAATCTCCACAAATTTCAACGGCAAACATTGCTCCACCAAAGCAAATGCCTTCTTGAGCAGGAAAGGATCGTACTGCATCATTTGTTCCATGGTCACATCCCGACAGTCCACCACCCAAATCAGACCGGAAATCGAGGCATTGTCGCACTCCAAAGCAAGAATTTCGAGCAATATGAACACTAATTTGAAGGCCTCTCGGGGACTGGACTTCTTGGGATCAATATTCCGGAACTGGGATATGATCACCCTCGCTCCTTGGGGACTGACAGGTCTTGAGGGTATCACATGGATGCTAAAGATAAAAATTCAAAATTGAGTTCAAAATTATTGTAAAACATGCTCACTCATAGGGCGCCAAAAACCGATGATTATTCAGCTATTTCGTGGCTAGCTGAATTCATTATTTTTGGTAACCAGCCCGATAAACTTGTACACAAAATACTTGTGTACTTTTGACAGCACTGATAAGACAAGGGAATTTAAATTGATATCCGGTGGCCCAAAACACTGTCATCATATGAAAGAAACTTGATTTAATTAAAGGCTAACCCACCTTCTCAGGAGCTGTGCTAGCAGGGCTTCGTCCACCTGCCTGCATCCCAATACCTCGGGGAACACGGCACGAAGGGAATAGTAATTGTCGAAACGTTTCTTGGCCTCCTCCTGGCTGAAGCGGCAGCGACGTAGGAATGCCAGGATCAACCGCTCATCTGTGGGAGCCTTCAGGTGTGGGGACTTGGTAATCCATGTCTGGATGGTGGCTACGATCTCCGCCCGCTGTGCTTGCTCCTCGTTGCACTCGGTCTTGGCCAAAGCTGCCAGTTGGGGGTCGAGAGGTCTCAGTTTAGTCGCCATTTCGGCGGTGGTTCAAATGCTAACTGAATGCCGAATCCCCTGACACACCGTCCAAGTGGACGCGGTGGGTGCGGTGGCGCTATCTAATCAGCCCAACACCTTGTAAACCAGCAAGCCGAAACCCGAACCCCAAACCCGACGGCAACCAGATACATAGATAGATAGAAATACACGAGTGCATGAATTGCCGATACGCGAACGTTATCTTTAATTGATCGATTTTACAGCAGTGCTTGGAATGTTTATGTAGGGATATAAAAACAAATGGGGCAACAGAGGGTATCATATTTGCATTTACTTCCGGGTCTAGTCCCAGTTGAGCCTGCGGAAGGATCCGCTGGCGCCGAATTCAGCCTCGTAGATGGCAATCTCCCCCTGGCGGAGCTCCTCAATCGTCCCGTAGTTACAGTCCTGCTCGAAGTATCCTCTGTAGCTGTTCAGCAGGTCCTCCATGTAGGCGATGCACTCGCCGATGTGGCCATTGGTGCCACCATACTCCTCCGGCAGTGAGTCCTTGCCAATGTGCTCTATCAACTCCTCGGTGTTCTTAAGGACTCGTATCTTAAGCAAAGGATTATTGATAAACTTTAAAATAGAAAATTAGAAATACCCACCGGATGATCGACTTGCATGCTTAGCAAATTATATAGAAACATGATGGTACCCTGTATATCCTTGGGCATGTTAATAATATACATTTCCTTGACCTTTAGGGGACTGCAGGCGTAGAGCCAGTTCCACCACTTGCGGAAGAGAACTCGGTCGAAACGGCGCATCTTGTCTGAGTTGACTCCCTCCAGGTCGATAATCTCACAAATCCCCGCCAGGGAGGCATAGTCGTTTTCCAGAGAAATCACCTCCATGGCCATTGAGGAGAAATGGTAGATCTCACGAAGCATGTACAGATTGGGGTCGAAATGGCCAAAACGGGCTATAAACATGGCCGTGCGACTATCGCCCTTGGGCATGTCGGGATAAAGGCAGACTCTGGAAGAGGAATAAGCCTTTAATCGCTTCGAAAATAAATCACAAGGATCTTACCCCAAACGATTGATGTCCAGCAGACGTTGCGTCACACATCGATTGTTCATAATCTCCGGAAAGAGGTTGTAGTGCGTGAAGTACCTATCTATCCGACGCTTGGTCTCCTCCAGACTATAGCGGCACCTTCGCAGGAAGGAAATCAGGAAGTCAACATCCGTGCGGGCGCGCAGATGCGGTTGCTGGCGAATCCAGACGCGCAGGATGATGATGTCCTGCTGGATGCGGTCGGGCGTCTCGTTGACCTCCTTTTCGGCCAACTTGGCCAGAGTCGGCGAGAGCGGACGTCGCATTTTGGTGGCAGCTACGCGGTGTTTGATCGCCCGGAATCAATGATAGTTGGCTCATTTACCTATTTCTCTCTCGATTTGGCCCTGTGGGTGGGCCACAATCTAATCTTATCGTTAGGCGAATCGTATTGGGGGAAAAATTGAAACATACACAATTCCAGTTTGGTATCTACACGCTTTTCCAGCTTGCGCTTTTCTTCATCTCTGGGACTGGGATTAGGCTTGGGGTTTTGGGATGGAAACATGGCACTAAGGGACATGGGACATAGACAGGGCCAGCTCGATAATAGCTAACATCCGGCGCCTGTCTGCACAAGTCACTTAAGTGCCCTTCTTTAGTACATTTGGGAAATGGAAACACTGCACTGAGAATAAACTAATTCTTTTGGCTTGCTTTCCAACTAAATAGCTGATAGATCTCTCTATAGTCCTAACATGTTTCCCTCAGTGTTCCCGGCTTCTTCTGTAATGCGATCTGCGTTTAATGCCCGAAATAAATCTAACGCTAAATAGTATCCACTTTGCTGTGTTTTGAGCATTCAATTTGAGTGGCTGTCAGAAGGCATTACACCGACAAGCGACAAGCGAGAACCGGAGGAGCGGAGATCCCGTATCCCAGCTCCCGGGCTGCTCTTCAAATTGACGTGGAACACCTACGGACTACGGCCTACGGCAAATTGCTGTGACATGACGCTGTCAGCTGCTGACAAGCCAGGAAACGGATCAGCTTGCCACTGGAATGACTGCTCCTCCGACATCTCCCACTACTCCTCCACCCAATAACTCATAACACATTATGACCATGGGACTTCTGGGACTTCTGCAGGGACTGTTGGGACGGCTGGGTCTGCGCTTTGATCTTCCTGATGACAGTGCAGCGCGTGTAAATTCCCTTCGCAGCCTTCGCGCTCATTGCTCATGACACAAACATATCGTTGCCATATTAATAATGAGGCTCATTAACAGTTTTGCCGCACTGCCACCACCACTGCCACATCCTACTACTCTCAACACTCAACACATTGCCCGATGTTGGCACTTTCTTGGACGGATCTTCTGGGGCAAAGGGTTGGGGGTGCAACCCAGTGCTATGCAATTGACACTCATTGCTGATAAGTGTATTTTGTTGTAAGCACTTGAGATATGCTCGCGAACCCTTGGAATGCATAGTGCAGCAGGCATGGCCCGGGAAAGATGGATGCTCGGGCCATAAAAAATTGCTGGTACTCATAAGAAAATATTAACATGATACTATATTTAAGGACTTCTTTTTGAAAAAAATATAAAAACAAAATAGTTGATGGCTTGCTTTATTGAAAAAATTGGCTTCTACAGTAAACTATTAAAATAAATTGTTTGAATTTAGGTATTGAAAGTTTACTAGCTTAAATTATATCCGAGCATGGCTCTTAAAATATTCAAAACCATTTCTTAGGATATTTTTTTCATAATATTCATTTATTAATTTATGTACTATTTTACCCAAGTATTTTATATTTTTATGTGGTACTCTATAAAAAACTTTAAAAAAATGCAGCGCATCACCGCAGTAGAGGCTGCCGTAACCACTAGTCATATGGACTTATAAACGTTTCATGTTTTAATTTATAGACTTACATAAAACGCCCCATTTTGTGCGCCAAGTGCGGCAAGGAGGTGCGGGAAAGAGCGGCTGGGAAATGGGGAAAATGCATTTGCTTGGCGCTCAATTGACAACCATATTTATAGAGCATATTGAACAAATAGACTACGGCCAGCTCTAAGATAATATTCGTCTAGAGAGATGTTTTTCGGTTGGCCGTCGTTACCGCTCGACTGGCAGTTGTCACTCAACTTGATCCGAGATATGTTCCTACTTTGTATACTATATAGTACATGCCGGTCGTTTGTACTTTGCCGTCCGTCCCCTTCGGCTCGCGGGAATAACTAAGGCATTAAACGGCAAATGAAATTTCATTGTAAACAGACGCGTTCCGGCAAATTGAGCAGCTTAGACAAATTTCCGCTGGGATACTCCAAGTATCTGTATCTCTATCTGAATCTGACTCTGTATCTGTAGCGTTACATCCTTAAATTTCCATCCTGTTGAGGGCAATTTATTGGCTTCCGTTGTTGTCTTGTTGTCACTTGAGCCTCAATTGGTCCTTTGGGCAGCGGATATGGAACTAGAACGGCAGCTGGACCCTTTGGCTTACTTTAACTATAGCTATATCTGTATATTCCAGGAACTAGATCACTTGTAGAGCACCGTGTGCCAGGATCGCGGCGGCAGGCGTAGGTTGATTGCCCCACGTTGGCTATCATTGAGGGCCACATCCACCGGCAGATTTTGGCTGAAAGATTTCAGAAGACGGAGCTCCCATTAGAGGCATTCATAAAACGAATCGTTGTCGGCAATTAAGTTGACGCACTTAAGCGGCACCATCGCAGATGCAAACCAAAATAGCAGCCAAGCACTTGAAAAATATTGCTTCACTTTAACTAAAATATAGTACACATTTCTTTGCTTAGACAGATAGAACTAAATCTACCAACACTTAGGACTATTACTTTTTTGCAGTGCACTTACCCATTGTAGAGTATCAACGCCACGCTGCCGTCTGGCCGCTGGAAGCCCACCACACTCAGCTGGGTAAAGAGATTGGTCTGATTCTCCAGTGTCGTCTCGATGCGCACCGATTCCTCTGGCAGAAACTTGGAGAAGTGCCCTATGGCATAGTAAATCGGCTGTTTATAAAACTCATTTCGACTGGAGGCATTCACAATAATCGGAGCGTCTACAAAGTTGTTGATATAGTTGGGTCCGCCCTGTTCATCCAGCACCAAGTTCCAGTCCAGCCAGCCGTTGAAATTGTAGCGAAAATCCTGGGTATAGGCCTTCATATAGCTTTCGCCCCTTTGCCAGCTGCCCAGTTCCGGGCCATGGGTCTGCCAGGGCTTATCTCCGATGCAGGACTCAGTGTTTAGGAGCATTTTGTCTGGCATTTCCGCATGGGCCTGCTCGATAGTTTGGGGGCCGATCAGTTCGTCCCAGTACCAGTGGACAGCCAGCCCGTCCAAATAAGACAGTGAATTTCCGCGGGATGATCGCATCTGGAATTTATGAGGTACTTGTAGTAAGATATAAGAACTTTATGAGGAATAGCACCTTTCTGAACCACGAGGGATAGGTGTATCGCTGGTCGTCATTGCCAAAAATGAGCACTTGGCTGTGCGCCGAGTTCCTGATGGTCGGGCCTAGATTGTCGTTCAGCCAAATAGCCTGGCCAAAAATGAAATGTGCATAGAGATGGTTAATAGCCAGAATCGTGATCGAACGGCTGTCACGGCTCATACCTGCTGCCAGGGCGTCCAGCCCATGCTCATGAAATGCACAAAGAAGAACCCGATGACGCCGTTTAGCGGCTCATTGCCGGTGGATATGGCCCAAATCGGCATATTCTCGGCCTGCATGAGTTCGAGAAATCTGCCATAAATAAATATAAACTATAAGAACTCATCTGCATTCTCATCCTGGCACTCACTTGAGGTGGTAGTTGGCCCAGGTCTGGTAATATTCCGATCTAAGTGTTCCGAATCCTGTCCAGCGCTCGTTGGTCTTCATCCACGTCGGTGCACTCCAGGCCGCAGCCATTATTTTCAGGTTGTCTATCTTGGCGATAGTTTTAAGTCTTTTTATCTGCTCTATTTTCTGGAGGTCCCTCGGGTCCAAAGCAGTAAAGTTACTTAGTTCCTTGTCGTTGCGGGGCAGCTCGTTGTAGGCCCAAGGCTCCAGATCAAAGTCACAGCCACCGATTGACGTGCGAATGGTATTATAAGCAATGCCATCTGGATGAAAATAGGATCTGCCAAGGACTGGGAGTATAGTTAACTTTTAAGAAAAGATATTAGATTTCTTCTCACCTGTAGACATGATCCTGTAGGTCTTTGGGAAGTTTTTTCAGCAAATGAGATACAGTGCCTGTAAAGGCTCCTCCAAAAACTGATACATTCTGAAAACGCTGCTCCCTTTTCACAGAAATTCTTGCGGTTTTCACAGCTGAATTAATAACTGAAAAAGTTAAATAAAATATATAACAAAATTCTCAATAAAACGTAGTAAATTAATTACAAAGCCTTTGCGATATATTGCTCAACTGTAGCCAAGCTCTGTTTTCATCCACAACTATAGCATCGGCCTTAAAGTTCTCATCAGTAAACTGTTGGTCCTCCACCAGTATGGGTTCTCCAGAAGATAGGTCTCCGACAGTTTGCTTGAATCGCAAGCCATCCTTTAATTTATTAATTTAAGTATTATTCTCAATTGTTATACAATTGACCGCAATTGTGGCCAGATAATCCAGCTGACTCACCTTGCTGGAGCTAATCACCACAATTTTGGAATTATCAGTGAGCTCGGGCTGCCCCAAGTAATCGCAATAAGTGCTGTTGCAAACACACACACTTCCATGGCTAGTTTCCCGCAGATTACATGGTATCTCTACCTGTATCTTTTGTGATGCCACCACACCTGCAATATTACCGAATAAATACGTATCTTTTGTAGGTCAAATGACCAGGTAGCCGGCAGATAATATTGTTTCCAACTCACCTGCAATCAATGCAAAAAGAAAGCAATGCAAAATTTCTTTCATGTTTCTTTCTGGAGTGCACCGGCAACGACACTTCCCGATCGAAGGCCCGTCCAAAACTGAGCTCGAGCCGGGGCTGAATCGGTGTTTTCACTCTCCGGATCGCAAGCGTTTCTCTAATCAACTGAATTTCGCTCAAATTTGCCGTATGGCTGTGGTTGTTTATGTTTTTCGAGTGCCACTTGACCCAGGGCCCAGTTTGTGGCTGATTTGATAAAGCCACTGAGCCGGCAGACGTCGACATTCCCACTTGGAAATCGGCTCACGCAATCGGAAAGTAAAAGTTATGCAAAGCCAGTGGCGGAGTGGGAACTAAAGCAAGGGGTTACAGAGTTCAAAATATAGTTATTAATTTCATTTAATTGGATGATTATCATTTAAAGCAAAAACAAGCAGGGACAGGTATCTTCGTTCGGAACCGAAGTTTAAACACCCTTGCAGTTGAGTACCAGTTTATGTTTTTAGAAAATATCAAATGGGAAGGGATATTGCAAATATAGTGGGAGCCATCGGCCCAATCGTGGCCCAATCGTGGTGGGTCCCTTGAAAATGTGGTTTTGCCCTATATGGCCCACAGTGAAGACTATATCTGACCCAATTCTTATCCGATTCTCAAGCGGAGTATCTTAAACGATTTCTGGATCGATTCGCCACCATTCTTCATCAAAATCCTGAGAGAATATATTTTTCAGATTTACGTAGGTTTACGACAAAAATTCTTTTCAAAATACCTCAAGAAGTTAAAAACCAAAATCTTTATTTAAAACTATCATTTTTCAGTTATACAGCAATGTGTGAATGGATTTGGCGGGAACGTTGACAATGAACTTGCCCCTTAAACTGTCCTCCACAGCAATATCGAGATCAGCACGTCCGCTATTGAACAAAACTGCGGCTATTTTGTTGTCCGGACGGAGAAAAGCCACGGTATTCAGGTTAACGTTGCTGGGAATGGCATCAATGCGAATAGAGCCCTCTGGAACCAGTTTCGAAAAGTGCCCAATGGCATAGAACATGGGCTGCTTGTAGAATTCCTCAAAGGCTAAAATATGTTAAAAGTTTAATAACATAGTCTTTATACATTAATTATAAAGTATAAACTCACTTGTGGTATTTGCAATCACAGGAGCATCTACCGTGTTATCCACATAGTTGGGACCGCCTATCTCATCCAAGACTATGTTCCAGTCGATCCAAGCATGGAATCCCAACTTAATGTTGGCCAAGTAATCCCGAGCGTACTTCTCGGCCCGCTCCCAACTGCCCAGAAGAGGAGCAGCCGCCTGCCAGGGCTTGTCCCCAATACAGGACTCGGAAACGATCAAGATCTTATCGGGGGCAAACTCGGTGGTCTTTTCGATAAAGCTGCTGCCAAATATTTCATCCCAATACCAGTGCAGCGATAATCCGTCCAGATAATCAACCGAGTTAGGGCGGGTTTTGTTCATCTATTAATAAAATTGATTAGATGATTAAACTTTGATTGTGAATGCTTTGGAATTTTCAAACTTACCCTCTGGAACCAATAGGGGAATGAGTAACGCTGGTCATCGTTGCCGAAAATAATGATGTCCTTGAACTCAGAGTTTCGGATCGTGGGACCCAGATAGTCATTTAGCCAAATAGCCTGAGTCTGTGGAGTCCAGCCCATGCTCATGAACTTAACAAAGTACATGAAGAAGATTCCGTTAAGGGGCTCGTTTCCCGTGGAGATGGCCCAGATGGGGAGACCATTGTCCTCCATCAGCTTCACCCAGCGAAGGTGATAGTCTGCCCAGGTCTGGTAGTAGTCCCGCTTAAGGCGTCCGAATCCTGTCCACCTATTGTTTGTCTTCATCCATGGCGGGGCGCTCCAGGCGGCTCCCTTGATCAGAAGGTTCTTCACACCGGAGACCTCGACGAGGCGCTTAATCTGGGCAACACGCTCCACATCCCGCTCGTCCAGCTGATCCAAGTCGGAGAGCTGAGTGTCGCCCTCCTCCTCGGCGTAGGACCAAGCGCCCAGATCAAAGTCACAGCCACCAATTGAAATGCGCATGAGATTGAAACCAATTCCATCCTCGGAATAGAAGGACTTGTAGAGATGATCGGCGAGTTCGGGATCTTTGAAGTTTTCCACCAGGTAGGTTACAGCACCGGTGTAACTGCCACCGAAACCCACCATCTTCTGATGGGTCTTGCTTCGATCCAGCTTCAGGGTAACCGAACGGGTAATGGAACTCTCCCGGGTTTCCAGGGTGAAGGCTCTAGCCACCATCCTGTCAACCAGACGGGACAAGACAGTTTCATTCACAGCCTCTGGCGTGGGCTCCACATAGTCCTCCACCGTGTACACCTGCTCCGTGCCAAACTTGCCACTAGATGTGGCAAACCGAAGTCCTTGCTTGGAGCTGGAAATCAAAGCGAAATCGGAATCCTCGGCTATCGTGGGATTCTCCAGGTAATCGCAGTAATCCGCCGTGCAAACACACACCTTTCCATGTTCCGCCTCCCTCAGTTTGCAGGGGATCGATTCAAAATTCCCACCTGCGTTCCAAATTTAGATTAAGTTTTGGTTTTATTTATTGGCTATAGTTTATAGCCACTTACCAATCGCTGATAGCAGCACTAATCCAAGCACCAGAGGTCCTCTGGTGGCCAACATAATTCTGGTTAACTCGACCACTTACTCCAAAAGTTTCCAGCCGACTGAAGTCGTTGGCCAACATGAAGGTACCAACTGGGTTCGTTTTGGCCATTATCTGACCACTTGGGACCCTCCCACAAGTGGCCAGCTCCAGGAAGTACAAACGATAAGGTCGACTACGATTACCTTCTAAAGAAACTTCCAAGTAATGGTCAGTATACATGGTCAGTATAAGTAATGGTGATATACCCATATCAGACAGGGATTTAAAGCCAGTAGATGAAGTAGGCCTTGGATTATAATTCAGCATCAAATGTAGGCTAGTGGGATTTGCTTTCAACCTAGCTCATTCCTTTCGAGAGCCTCGTTCGGCAAACAACTTCCTTGGGAGTTTCAAAATTTCAAAAATTAATAATTTTTTTTTATAAAAATTAGAAAAGTTTACCTCAGTTTGAAAAAAAATGTCGTGTAGAAAAAATTTTGGTTAGGGTTATATTATATTTAATATTAAAATTTTTAAAATTTACAATAAATGTTTTTTTTTCAGGACCCGGTCCTGGGGCGTACAATCTTCCCACCACCTTTGGCTACAAAAACTGCGACGCCAGAATGGAGAGAAGTCCAGGCTTTTCCTTCGGAAAACGTAACCGGTCTTGCAACAACCCCAACCGGAGGAGAGCAGCTGGACCTGGGCCAGCGGACTACTTCCCCGACAAGGTGTCGCGGTTCGGAAGGGTAACGGAGCACGAGTTCTCCGTTTTTAGTCCGCATAGTAGTCACTGGGTGTCCCGTCGTTAGAATTGGCTTGTTTTCTAAATATACATACATGTGTGAGGTAAAAATCTCTTCTAGTTTGTTTACTGGGTGGGGAGGCACTTCTCTTTACGGTGGTCTATCTAATCTGGATTTTGGCAAAAATTGCTTAGTCTAATCGCTTCTAGATTAAGAAGTGTTATAACCTTAAAGCCTACAACAGGTGTCTAGCTGGCTTATCATTCCCCCGGGTATCTGCGGAAATTTAATTACTCATTGAAGAGTTTTCCCCTTCATCTTGAGCCAAGAAAATGGTTATTTTTAGCTGCTCTTTTATAAAAATAGGTCGACATTGGCTCGAAAGGTGCCTGGTGTCATTAGGAGAAAATCAATTTTCAGTACCAATCTGTCACAGATTTTTCCAGACTAAATTTAAACGGCGGGAAATTCAATGAAACGGAAAATGTCACAAAGGCTAAAAATCCATAGCCTGCTTATCGGGGCCAAGACAAACACTCGCTCGGTCTGGCCTTAAAGGCCGTGCTTTAATCTACCCCCTCTAACCAGAGGGGTAAATGCTTCAACGGGGGGTACATGGTGCTAATAATACGGACGCCCATGACATGGCAGAAGCTTTAAAGTCGACCATGAGGGGCGTGGTAGCTGGGCGTTAACAAAAAAAGATTCCCAAGTTTAATAGAAAAACTCGAAAGGAATTATAATATACCGAACTATGAATGCTCTTTTAATAAAATAATATATTTAAATATTTCAATTATGTTTTATTAATAAATAGAATAAGTTCCTTTCTATGCCTTGTGGATTAGGGATATTAGAATCATTATTTATAAACCGATTCGAAAAAAGGTCCTTACCCTCTTAAGCTGAGCATACGAGCCATGTTCAACACGACCAGAGTACCGGAATGGATCCCAGTTGAGATGGCTGGCTGGTTAGCTGCTTTCACTCTTTGGGGCATCCACTCGGGACTTCAGGCAATGGCATTGGCATCGGGCTCCGAAACGGCCGAATATGGCACTCGGCTCACTTCGCGTTCCTGTCAATAAAATACAACGGCAACTTGTCGCTGCCTTTCAATATTGGCACATACGTCGTTGTGGCAGCACCACCACCTGTTGCTGAGTCCGTGCCGAGTGCGGGTGAGTGTGCTTCGTAGCACATTTTTGTGGCGCGAACTCAGAGACGCGAAACTTTCAGCCATATGGCAGCCTAAGCTGGCAATATCAGTGTGTTCAATTAGCTCGCCATGTCGGAGAAGTCAACTGCACGCGTCCACCAAGTGGTGGTACACTCCCAGTCCGAAGTCCCAAGCCAAGCCCAGGCAGCTGCCCACCTAAATGCCCCCGGCAGACGCAGCTCCACCCCGCCATCCCACGGCCCCTCCAATCGCTGCCTGATTGCCGTGATTGTCTACCTGGCCCTGTTGCTAGATAACATGCTGCTAACCGTAATTGGTAAATGGCCGAATCAATTACCGATAAGAGCGCGCTAATATGCCATAATTATCGTTTGTTTCCAGTGCCCATTTTGCCGGATTACCTGGCCAGCCTGGAGCTGGATGCGATGTCCACGGAGATTGTCAGTCTGGATGATGGAAGTCCAACCGCGAGGCTGACGTACAGAGGTAGTGATTTTCCGTTGCCCGGAGGACATCCGCAGTTACACATCGCCAAGCATCCGATTCCTGGCAAATCGATGGTCAATTTCACCCTGTTCCAGCTGGCCACCGAAGCCGCAACCACCACCACAACCATCAGCACCAGGTCTGTAACCACATTAACGCCCAATTCAACCTCCACGCCATCGACTGTGAGACTGGCCGATAGCCAGTCGCCTGGAAGTAATTTGACTGGGAACCGAAACAGGAAGCTCGCCTCCGGATATGCACCCACACACAGAAACAGCAACAGGAAGAGCGACAAGGAACTGACCTTGTCGAGGGAGAACGGCTCCATCGGGCTGCTTTTGGCCATGAAGGCTCTGGTTCAATTAATTTTCAATCCGATTGTCGGCAACGCATCCAGCAAGTTTGGGTACCGCCTACCCATTGTGGTTGGCACCTTCTTCCTGTTAGTCTCGTCCCTAGGTGAGTGATCACATTATAGTGTCCTATGGACATTGATGTTTTTTTTTCGATTGCAAAATAGGATTTTAAAAGTTTTTTTTATTCAATTAGGAAGGCATATGTAAAAAGTTATGGCTTTTATTTTAATCAACTTTCAATTAAAAACTAACGATACTTTTACCTTTTTTTTCCTCTAAATTTAGTTTTTACAGTGGGCGAGTCCTATTGGGCTTTGTTGCTGGCCCGTGCCATTCAGGGTGTGGGCTCCGCCTGCATCAACATCTGCGGCATGAGCCTGGTGGCCCAACACTACCCGGAGGAGGCACGCCGTTCCAAGGTGATGGGCATTATTCTGGGCAGTATCGCACTGGGCGTACTGCTGGGATATCCTTTTGGAGGGATACTTTACGACCTGATGGGAAAATCGGCACCATTCATTATACTCTCGACATTGACGTTCCTTAGTCTGGGACTTCAATTACTGACCATGGATCTGTCAGTACAGCCTGAGGTGGTGATGGAGGAGACCCCGAAGTGGCGACCGCTGCTTGAGTGCAAAATGATTCTGGCCATTGTTCTGGCCATTTGGTTCTCCACCTCCACAATGGCTATGCTGGAGCCTTGTCTTCCAATTTGGCTTATTCAGTATCTGAAGCCTAACAAGTGGCAGCTGGGAACAGTGTTTATACCGGACTCGGTAGGCTACTTTGTGGGCACAAACTTCTTTGGCAGCATCGCCTACCGATATGGCCAGGTGAAGGTATCCTGCATTAGCTTATTGCTGGTGGGAATTGCCTCCATTTTGGTGGGTAAACACCCATGATCTATAAGGATTTATTTTGATGTTTTGACCCTCTATAGATCCCCAGTGCCACAACTGTGGCTCAATTGCTGTTACCCCACTTTGCTCTGGGTCTGGGCATTGGTGTGATTGATGCTGCTCTGGTTCCTTTGCTAGCCACCTTTGTGGATGCTACTCTCGCCCAGGAGGATCAAAGCGAGGCCAGCACCTCCATGTCCAGCTACGGAACTGTCTATGCCATCCAGCAGACTTCTGTTAGCCTGGCCTACTGTTTGGGTAAATTATTATTGATTTTTATACAAATTTTCAGAAAATAAAAAATAGTTTTTGTTTTGCAGCTCCCTTGATTGGCGGTGAGTTGGCCCAAACCTTTGGCTTTGCTTGGCTCATGCGAATCGTGGGCATCTTCAATATGATCTATGGCCCCATTCTGGTCTATCTTCATCAGAAATACGATCCCAAGGTAAGTTATCTTCACAACTGGTTATAAGAGTGTTGTTAAAATGAAAATTTTCTAAAGGCCCTGAGGGAACAACACAATGATATGTTGCTCCAAAGCAGCGGACGAGGATCCCGATACAAACAGCTATATAATTCCATGGATGTGGAGTAAAAACCCCAGATAATCTCAAGCAATGTCCCCCTTAAGATGTTCCGTTTGGCTCATTTAAAGCAATATATTGGAACTGATTTTCGAAACCCAACTGTTATTTCGAATCTCTTTAAATCAGAATCACTTTGTAACATTCCTATTAAAACTATTCTATCAATGTAAATTAACGAACTATTTTCGTCAATGTGGTTGGAAACTAAAATGTTTCGAATCAAGTAGGCCTGGCTTTCATGTTTTCATGAGGTAGGTGTGCTCGGGTCTGGTATAGCCTCATTCTAAGCTTAGAATCCGTTCGGCCAACAACTCTTATTTGAGTTTCTAAATTTAAATAAAAAATATTTTTTCTAATATTGCACAAAAATCTAACTAAAAATGACGGCGGTGCGACCTTTGGGTAAGTAAATTATTAAATTATCTCTATCCAATGCGGTAGAATAATTTAATCCTGTTCAGGACCTGGACCTGGCGCGTATATGCTGCCACCCACCTACGGTTACGATAAGCATGACAACCGTAAGCAGCGTAATCCCCAGTACTCCTTCGGGATGCGCACCAACCTGGTCGGGAGTGAGCTGGGTCCTGGTCCCGGTGCCTACAAGGTCGACAAGTTGACGCGGTATGGGCCAAGCAAGGGCTTGGAGTACTCGATGTCTCCAAGGACGGAAATACCTAGTAAGTTACTCCTCTCACTGCAAGATTAGCAGATTTTTAAAAAGGATTGTGCCTTTAGTTGAGAAAGTTGGTCCCGGTCCTGGCGCCCACGATGTCCACCTGAAGCCCTTCTTCACGGGCGTCAATGCCCCTTCCTATTCCATGGGCCTAAGAACGGATATAAACTTTAAGAAGGAAGGGCCTGGACCTATTTATAAGTACGAGATGAACCCTGTCCGCCCAAAGGTCCCGGCCTACAGCATGTAAGTTTCTTCAGAAGTTTATGAGCAGGATCGTGTTCCTGCTACAATATGCTTACCATTTCAGGGGTCTCCAAACCAAGATCCTGAACAAGACCAATTCGCCTGGACCCGCGGCCTACGGTCCTGGCGACATCAACGTAAAACTGAACCGTGCTCCGCAGTATTCCATGGCCCCGCGCACCAACATGAAGGGAGAGAATGTCGGCCCCGGCTCGAACTACTACGATTTGATGTACTACCGCCCTGGAAAGAGTGGACCAGGCTACTCCTTCGGTGTGCGACACTCTCAGTACGCTCCGCCCATGATAGTTAGATGTGATAACATGTAATAGTGCAATATTAGAACAAATATGTGCAAAATTTTTGGTTATAATAAATTTGAAAATAGTTTTGGAATATAAATAATACTATTTTTATTGGAATAAGTGGGAAAATGGCAGATTGGGTTACTTGATCAAAAGATCTTTGGATTTGGTACTCGGTTTTATTTTCTTTATATCGTGGAAATTAGTCAGCATTTTCAAATTACTGTTGCCATTTGACAGGTCATTTTTGACCTCAAAAAAGTAGACCATGTTCGAGAAAAAGGAAAGAATTCAAATGAAGGATAATTAAAGGGGGATTTCTACCATGTAAATTAAAAAAAAATGTATTTCTGTACATTTTCTGTTCTGTAAAATGCATTTCCAGATGTGTATGTATATATATACAACAACATATATATATATTTTTTACTCCCAAGTTTTTAATTTTGAGCCGAAAAAGTTATCGGCTGTTTTTTTTATTTGTGTCAAGCGCGAGGGTCAGCGAGTTTTAAAATCCGTTTTTTTCGAAATCATGTTCAAAAGCTCATAATTTGCTTTTGATTCATTTATTTTCTATGTGTATCGACAGATAGTTGTAAAATTTTATTTATATATAGTAAAGACAAAAAGGAAAGTTGGAAACTAAATCAAAGAGCCCCTTGATTTTCGAGTTTTGAGAAACATAGTTTGAAAGTTTCATTTTATACTCGAAAGACAAAGAAACACATTAAATTTCTGTGAAGAATTCTGAGAACGATTTTATTTTTTTTCCAGTACGGATCAACCTTTTTTTTTTACAAACGGTGAGTTTTCCATTTTATACTACTCGAATAGAATAGCCTGTTTTAAAGATTAGCGCCATTTTGAATTACTTCTGCCCCTTTTTTCGGTAAAATGTTTTTCTGCATTATCGGGTCAATAGGTTTTGCATAAATTTGCCATGCTGTTTTCATTGAGGCTTCTATAAAATCATCGAAAAAGAAATAATTCCATAAAAAAACAGAGAAATTTTAAAATGCCAACATTTAAAATTTGTGCCTTAATCGAACATCGGGAATAGGTCGAAGCTATCGATGGCTAGATGTGGCGCCACCTACATATACGTTTTGAGCTAACTCTTGAACCGATTAAACAAACAGCTGATTGACAGCTCATTAATGTAGTGAGCTCGCACAAGAAATAATCTTATTAAATTAGAAAATTTTTATTAAAATAATTTATAATTTATTTTGAACATGGCTTCCCCGAACAAAACACTCCCCCTAATCGTTGGTCATGTACGAAGCGGATTGCGAACTGCTTACGAACCGCAATAGCATCGAACATGTTGGACAGCGCTCTACGTTTTGTTACGCGGCTTACGTGTCTAGTTTACGTTTTGTTGTTGTCTTCGCCGAGTTATTCTCAAAAGAACGAAGAAAAAGAATAAATTAATAGGCGGCAGGCGTAATGTAACAGATTGTAAATTTAACCGTGCTAGTAGGCGTTACGCCCTTAGTCTGAGTTTGTCGTTTTGTTGTTGTACATTTTGGCCGTTTTATTTAATAGTTTTTTTAGAGGTTTTGGCAAAATTAACCAATTAAATTAGGATATCCGCGTAGTGTATAAATTTAATGCAGCCCCCAGAGAAGCAGCTTCGGTGATTGTAGTTTGTAGCCCAGAGTCAGGTAGAGTGGTGGGGTGACAGCGAAGAACTCGCATGCCACGCAAATTTAAGCGAAAGCTTCGCAGCCTCGAGAGCGCACTCTGATTCCGCTTTCCATGTGCACAGTTCACCATTGGTAACATGTCAAGTCAAGTGGTGGGCGCTGCCCTCGGTGGCGCCCCAGCAGACCGTCCGTCCTCCGAGGACAATGGTCGACAGCAGCAACAAAATAAAAAGGACTCGGAACCAGTGGTGACGACGACAGGCAAGGACCCTCGCCCAACGAACACCGCCCGACGAACTGGTGGCGGCCAGGCGCCATCCAAGAACCAAACTGGCAACAACGAGTGCCAGTTCTTCTTCGAGGACGAGGTCTTCCGCATTGATCGCCGTGGACGTGTCCATTTCGGCGTGATAACCGAGACGGCGGAATCCTATTCCTCCGACGAGGAGGAGGAGGTGGACGAGGTTCTGGCCAAGGGCGAGGTGCGCGTGGCCTTCTATCCCGATGGCAAGGAGGTGGTGCACACGGAACAAGCGGTGAGTAAGCCCTTCCTCCTCCCCGCCCATAGCCCCATTCCACCACTCCTTCCCAGCCCCCCAGCCAGTTGAGGTTATGTAATGCCTCTCGAATAACAGTTAACCGTCCTATTTGGACAACTGTTTTCGGTCTGTTTGTGCCGTTTGTTTTCATTGCTTCTGCTTTTTTTTCAATTTCGGCAATAACACGTGTTTGTTTGTTCTCCATGTTACTCGAAACCTACTTGGAACAGATTGGCCTTGCTGACAGAACTCTAATGCCAGGGGATGTCGTGAGGCGATGCCTGCCAGGACAGAAGAATCTCATCGGCCAAGCCGGCTACGTTCGGGATGTAAACGTTCGCGCCGATGTCAAGGTCTTGGGCTCCAAGTATGTCATCAAAAACGTACCCGCTGAGCGGCTTCGACCCATCTCCGAGTGGACCAGGGACGTGCCAGTGTGCCTGGGCACCTGGATAGGCACCACCGTCAATGTGGATGAGTGCGCGGTGCTCAAGTAAGTCGGAATATACCCATTGGCTCAAGTATTTTATTAAAAACTGTATAATTTACAGATCTGTTAATGGTGGTCGTATAGAAATCACCTCCAACGACTTCCACAAGTTCAAAGATGCAGTTTCGCCGTGCGCTCGAGAAGTCTTCAATCCGAATGTCTACTATCCGGGCAACGTTGTGGTGGGTCGTCTTCCGCCCCAGGATCGCATCAAGAACCTGACTCCAGATATCTCCTTGCCAACCAATCGTAAAAGTCGAGCAGTGGTAGGATTAGTCCGCTTGATTTTCTTAAAATAAAAATTAAATTATTCAATTTCCTTTTCAGTACACTGTGGAATCTATACGCACCACGTCCGTCAACGTGGCCTGGACCTGTCGCGCCATTTCTCAGACCGATAATGGCACGGATACTGATCCGCTCAAACATCCCAATACGAACATTAAGGGCGAGGACCTGGACGGCGTAAAGCGCCTTAATATATACGAATCCTACATGCTGCAAATCCACGATCGATTCTACCTCAAATATTCAAAATGTGATACATTAGTTAAACACGCGGACTGGGAGGAGGAGCAAGGTAAGGTGTACCAAGGCACTGCATTTAACTGGGAATTATTCCAAATAATTCACTTTTAGCGGAGAAATACCTTACTATTTTTCAACGCCAACGTCTTGAGAGTATGGTCGCAAAGGATCCCCCGGGTAACAGTCCGGCTCCTTCAAGTAGCGGAAATGCCCGTAAGTTCCGCCGCTTGGTGAGCAAGCCAAGCGTCACGAAGTTGCCCCGACCGATTTGCGATAAACATCTCTCGCAATCTGCGTCGAAAATTCAGTCGGGTGACAACGAGGAGGCCTGGGAGTCCGGTGACGATGAGGAGGACGAAGAGACAGTTCCAGAAACATTGGAACCTGCAGAGAGTCCAGAAAAATTAGCAGGTGGCGCCGATGTTGTAGAATCTGCCGATGGCACGCCGCAAGCTCCAAAAAATGCCACGCGATATATAAAGCCCAGACGTCACATAAAGAAGAAAATTAGGAGTGTGAAAAAGCTGATAGGTTCGCCATTCAGCAAGAAAGAGCTGGATCCCAAGGACGGCGATGAGATTGTGGTGGAGACGTTGGTGGTCTATAGCTCAGTTACGGTGGTGTGGCAGGATGGCAGTGTGGAGGCGGGGATACACTCCACCCAGCTGTACCCGATCCATCATCTCGATAACCACGAATTTTTCCCCGGCGACTTTGTCAACAAAGCCAACGAAAACAGCACTGGAGCCACTGATTACGGTGTGATTCAGTGCGTGGATCATGACGAACGAATTGCCAAGGTCAAGTGGTTTAATATTTACTCCAAAGCAGATAATCCTGTGTAAGTGTTTGTTGGATTTCGAGGAGTAGACTAATGAGAGCCACTAATTGATGTATTTTTCTTGCAGCCCCACGTGCCGAGAGTCGGAAGAATTAAGCGTCTATGACTTGAAGGATCACAGTGACTACCAATACCGTCCCGGCACCATGGTGATTCGGGTGTCGAACTTCACAGGCGAAGACATCAACTCAACTGCTGGACAGGTGATTGACAACTTTCCTGATGGCCGGGTCAGGGTTTGGTGGGCAAAGGGTCACATCACAATGTGCTATCCACAAGACCTTTTCGAGATAAACCATAGCGATCAGGAGCACGACGGTTATGACACGGACCAGTCGGGGGACTCGTGGGAGACTCAGTCGGAGAACAGTCAGGTCAATATGAGTCTGTCCTCGCTGGACGGCGAGGAGCACATTCTAAAGGGAGTAGACCTAGCGAGAGAGGCAGTGGAGCGTCTGGAAAAGAGCTACCGTGTTTTGCCCTGTATACGAAAGCCGGAAGTGCTTCTTGACCTGGTTTCCGTGTATAAGAATTGTGTATTCCTCGACAGTATGTTCAACACCAACTTCTTCCACGAAGAGCACTTTCAAGGCATTGTTCGTCGCAAACGGTCCAAAAAAGGGTCCCCATGTCACGACTGTGGAATTTGTGGCGAAGCTGCAAGGGCAACGACGCCCGAAGCTGCAGCCAAAATTTTGGCGGATGTCGCAGCGGCCATTGCTGGTCACTCCAGCCAGACGCCCACTAAGAGGAAATCTTCGACCGAGGGGGACGAAGTCCAGTGCAAAAAGACCACTGCCACTACAGTCAATGAGGACTCTGAGGAGGAGGAAGATGAGGAGGATGAAAACTCGATGTGCGAGCTCAAACTTACCGAAAGCGAATCTAAGCTCAGCCGCGAGGAACTTATAGACAAGCTTCACAGTGAGTTTACCGAAATGTTCAAAGAGGCACAGGATAGCATCCACAAGGCGTTCGAAATACACATGAAGGTAGGCTTCTAACTATACTATACTAAATATAGAATATAATATTAAATAAAAAATCATTTGCAGAGCGATTCTGGAATCGTCCACTCACGGCAGGAAAACGCTGGCGAAGAAACCAACGAATTTAGGAACAAATCGCTGAAAGAGATCCATGTTGAGTTAATGGCCAAACCAAATGTCGATGTGTGCGAAGTGTTTTGCTTTTTGATGAAGGAGCAGATGGCTAAATGCCGAAAGCTTATCATCGAGACCTATAAACAGGCCAAGAGCGAAAAGAACGATGAAGAGGAGGTGAGCGAAGCGGAAGAAGCCACAGAGGATGATGATCCTGCACAGGCTGACAATGAGGCCATGGAACAGCCTCTCAACCTCAACGGTCTGTCTGAATCCTTACCACCAATACCCGGTCCCATGGCCTGTTCGTCACCATCAGCTATGCCTGAATCTCTAGATACAAGCACGCCTCCTTTGTTCGAGAGTTGCTTTCAAGTGCTGCCCAATGCTCCGGCAGCCCATCACTTTATCGGAACCTCAATTACGCCGACCAACAAGTCACAGTACCAGAGGGCGGTGCAGCGCGAGTACCGCATGCTGCAAGCCTCCCTGCCGCCCGGCGTGATAGTGCGAGCCTATGAGGATCGCATGGACCTCATGTCTGTCATGATGGTTGGGCCCAAGCGTACTCCCTACCAGAACGCTCTGTTCTTCTTTGACTTCCAAATGGGGCGCGAATATCCGAAGCACCCGCCCGTGTGCCACTACATCAGCTACTGCACGGAGCGGCTCAATCCGAACTTGTACGAGGAGGGGAAGGTGTGCGTCTCGCTGCTGGGTACCTGGTCAGGTCGCGACACCGAAGTGTGGTCCCCTACCAGCACCATGCTGCAGGTTCTCGTCTCCATACAAGGCCTCATACTAGTCGATGAGCCCTACTACAACGAGGCTGGCTACGAAAAACAAAGAGGTGAGATTTAGAGACTACGATTTTACCAAAAACAGGCTAATAAAGTGCCTTTTCAGGGACGCAATTGGGTAATGAAAACTCTCGTGTCTACAACGAGATGGCCATCATTAAGATTGCCCATTCAACGGTCAAACAGTTGAAGAATCCGCCTCTGATTTTCCGCCAAGAACTGATAGACCACTTCAAGGAGTTTGGCGGAGAGTTGCATGGTCGCATGCAGGCCTGGTCGGAATACTCGCTGGAGGCACAACGTCGCCGTATAGCCTGCATCAAGGGTAAGTGGCAAATCAATCACTCAGTATTGACCCTAACCCTAACCTACTTTTAGACATGCCCGAGGACTACAAGGCGCCATGTGACATGCCAGAGTTCCCCCTGCTGCCCTGCAGCCGAGGTTTTTGCATTGCGGTCAAGGGTGTTTTGGCGCAACTGCAAACCGAATTGACTGCCCTAGAAGCTAGTAGTCCGGAGGGGAAGGAGGAACGTAGTGGCATTGAAGCTTCAACGGGAACCGGAACTGCACCGCGTGCTGCTCCCGAGGAGGTCTAACTACCGAAAATGGAGTGACCCCTGCCAAGCCCTTGCCTGTGAAATTGGTGCCTCAAATGCGAAACACAAGACTTTTGCCGCCTCTGTTCGGGATTCAGTCTGGCCTCCGGCAATGGGCTATGTTTTATATTTACGCTATCGAATCTCGAATTTGTTCTCTCGAATTGCTGGCAATATGCCTCTTAGTTAAAATAATTTCCTAAATTTATTGCTAATATTACTATTTTTCCACAACAAAAAAACTCAAAAATAATGGAAAAAAAAATTTATGATAAGCTCAAGTACATATATGCGTATATAGCACTTAGCTAAACTAGATTGTACATGGCTATGCCTCTCATGTAATGTCAATTTTATTAGTTTTTAGTTATGGGCCGCAAACCAGTGGCGTTTTGTTAGGTGTATCGTTTGGAATATTTGTGTCCTGGTCTGGTCTGGTTTGGTCCATGTAAATCTTTGTAAATCCCCGCGCTGCGTTATAGTTGGAATTCCACTAGAGCTTAGCTTAGTTAGTCTAGCCCCAGCCCCAAATCGCATCATGTACGTTAATATTGTAAGCTAGCCAATGCAAGAAGTGTGAATAAATTAGCAATTTTATTTATTATGCCTCCAATTTCTGCTGTATCCAATCGACGTAGGGCCCGGTGCGAGTATAAACTCCCGGCCATCCCTTAAAGCCACAGGATTCAGGACCGAAAGAGGTAACACCAGCTGCGTAGAATATGTCCCGGGGTCCAGAGTTGAGTGTCACCATTAGTGGTCCACCGGAGTCGCCCCCGCAGGTGTCGACACGATGCTCGCCACCGGCACACATCTGGGTCTCGTTCAGCCGAATCTTGAAAATGCTGTACTTCTCCTGGCAGCTGGTCAGGTTCCACACATCCACACTTATCTTCAGCTTGATGGGACTGGGCTGGTTGTTCTCCGTCAGACCCCATCCGGCTGCATCCATGGAGTAGCCTGTGAAAAGATTATTACGCACCTGCTCACTTGTGGGCAAGCAAATGGGTCGGACATAGTCGGTATACCTAACAATGAAGAGGAAGTTTATACAAAGTATTCCTATAAAAGACCCAGAATGAGGTCACTTACGTCACACTCTGCTTTAGACGCACCAGAGCAATATCGTTTCTTTGGTCCACCGAGTTGGGCACATACTTATCATGGAGGATGGTCTTCTCCACTCCGATATCTATGTGCATGGGCGCGCAGACCTGCTGGCCGTTCATCAGTTTCACGCAATCGGGACTAACTCGGGTATCCCACTCCCCCAGGCGAACGCTGTGCAACGTGGATTTGGATTCATCTAGTTTCCGGCTGGCCAGGCAGTGTCCGGCGGTCAAGACATAGCGGGAGTTGATCAAAGATCCGCCGCAGTTGAAACTAAGAGAATCCGAAATAACTGCAAGCAATATATATTTTTAAATCATTAAAATAATTATAGAAAATGTAGGACGCTTGTTATTTGATGATAATGCAGCGTGGACTTTGTGTTTTTTTTTATATATGTATAAACCATATTCCTCTAAGATTTGTTTTTGGTTTACTGATTAAATAAAAAGAATAGTTTTCGTATCAGCTTATAAATAATAAAACAGAAAAATAAAAAACATATTAGTGAAACAAAATATGCCTACAAGTGATTTGTGCTTTGGACTCACGTTTTTTATACTGAAGCATTACCATCCACGGGAATTCCCAGAGACTTGTGTTTTGCCCACCAATGATACGATCCGAGAACAAAAACCCACAAGTGTCGTCTCCGGGTAGAACATTGCCCGGCAGAGGTCCCTCATCGTCCGCAGTACTTTTAATCTCTGTGTTTCCGCTACGTTTGCTCTGAGGACAGCAGACCAGAATCCTCTCCAGGACAGGTCGGTTATTCTTTCGGTTGTCGAGGCCACACTGACTGTTCTTGAGAAGAGTCCGTTGAGCTGGAGTAGGCTGGGTCGTTTCCAGGATATTGGACAAGTAGGGGCAGCTGGTTATGTGGACGCACTGGCCAGTCTCGTCACCCTCCTGGGGCCTGCAACTGCCGAAGCTGATTTGCGCCGCATCTGGAAGAATGGAGCACGGCGTATCAGAGCACTGCGAATTGCGATGCAATTGAACAGAACGGCGGAGGTCAAACCGGTTTCCCCCGACACCTTCTCCGTGTCCCATGGACAGGCAACCCACCTAATCCAGCTCGTAAAGTGCCGAGCAGCAGTAGTACCAGCGGTAGCAAATTTTGATCCGTCACCATCTCGTCGTATCGGCTTCCAAGCGGAGACTAGCTGCGCTCTCCGTCAGTCGGGCTTAGTTAAGACCGAGCGCTATCTCTGGAGCAGAGTGGAGCAGATCAAAGGTAATCTAGATCATCAGCTTTGCTGATACTGATATTGATGAGTTTTCCCATCTATGTATATTTCTGTGGAAAACCCATTACCCATTGATGCAGATTTATAGATTAGCCCTTTTTCGTCATGTTGCGAGCACTACTATGCACTTGCCCTATACGGGGGTTCTCTTAACCGGTTATCCACTTCTCAGAACATTCACCATTTCTTATTGATATTTTTTTATTTCATTCTCACATAAACATATTAATTAACATCTGGGGAAACTCCTGGTTAGGATTGTAAACTGACAATCAACTTTTTTTCTATTTTTAAAAATTTATGTTCTGATATCGGATCTTTAAGAATGGTGCCAATCTTAACCATTATGAATATAATTGTGGTAATTTAATTACAGTAGTTATTATTATTGTAATTATTGTTATTTCTCCACTCTATTTTGAACCAAACTAGTAAAATATGTTAAAATAGAAATTAAATTTGGATGTTAGTTTTAGTTAATAAACGTTTCTATATTTAGTAGCTCTTCAGTTGCGATATTGCGCTTTTGGTTCGTCATTTATACGACATAATTCAAAAAATAAATCTTGATTGGTTTACAATTCATAAAGTTGGACACGAAGTTGGATAATATGTTCCATTCCAACTGTCAAGGCTTTTGGAAAGTATTCTGCAGATGGGTCCACTTATGCTCCTAAACCAAAAATTCTGTAACTAAGTGATTCGATCTAAGTGACTCTTTCCGTCATCTCGGGTGTTTCTTATATATCTTGACAGATATCTTGATATATCTGACAGAATAATAACTGTGCGTTTTTCGTTTTACTTTAAGGATTTTTAATGTTTATTAAGTACAATACCATTTACCATTATGCAATATATACCATTTTGCAAAAACAATAATAAGAAGAAAGCAAAGCTAACTTCGGGCGGAGCCGAAGTTGATATACCCTAGCAGCTAAAACCGGATATATATCGCAAACATCGGATATAGTTGGCCGATCCTTATGAACACATCATAATAAAACCAATTAACTTAAATAAAAAATCTAAAACAAGTCCCAAGCTTCTATCTTCAAAAATACGAAAGTTGATATTTCTACCAATAACCATTTCCGATCGTACAGTTATATGTCAGCTATAAGATATAGTCAACCAATCGTTATAAAATTTGGTAGGTCGGATTAACTTACCAAAAATATAATCTGTACCAAGTTCCAGCTTTCTATCTTCAAAAACACGAAAGTTGGGTCATTTCCGATCGTTCAGTTATATGGCAGCTATAAGATATAGTCGGCCGATCCTTATGAAATTTGGTAGGTCGGATCAACTGACCAAAAATAGAATCTGTACTAAATTCCAGCTTTCTATCTTCTAAAACACGGAAGTTGAGTCATTTCCGATCGTTCAGTTATATGGCAGCTATAAGATATAGTCGGCCGATCCTTATAAAATTTGGCATATCGTAATGGTTTGCCAAAAATAGCTCTCGTGTCAAATTCTCGTGTGAACTCTGTAACTCTAAAAACACCAAAGTTATATCATTTCCGATCAATCAGTTATATGGCAGCTATAGGATATAGTCGACCGATCCCGGTCGTTCCGACTTATATACTGCGTGCAAAGGAAAGAAGGGTGTGTGCAAAGTTTCAAGACGATAGCTTTAAAACTGAGAGACTAGTTCGCGTAGAAACAGACAGACAGACAGACGGACATGCTCATATCAACTCAGGAGGTGATCCTGATCAAGAATATATATACTTTATAGGGTCGGAGATGTCTCCTTCACTGCGTTGCACACTTTTGGACAAAATTATAATACCCTCTGCAAGGGTATAAAAATTAAATAACTTATACTACAATTGGATACTAATACATGAGATACGAATACGTTTTGGGGTGGTCAAGGAATCATCCGGGACTTATATTTCTTTTATGGCTTTAGACTTCTTTCAATCCAATTGAGATATTGAAACGTCTTTACATATAGACCTGGAAAATCACGAGCTCCACATTCTGTTGCACCAAAAGAGGTGATCCCAGCTAAGTAGGTCTTTTCACCCAAACGGCTCATTAGTGGGCCGCCGGAGTCACCGTTACAGGAGTCATTTCCGTGGTTAGAGCCAGCACATATATAAAATGTTTCATTCAAGCTCCCGTAATGTTTTGAGCAGCTTGATAATGGCATTTGCATCAGATCGGTCTTCAACAGTTTTGAACTCATAAAGGCAGTTTCCGTCTTACCCCAGCCGGCTACCGTCAATTGGGGACCCACATCTGGACTTTTATACGACGTCACTCCGACTCCGACCATTTTTAAACAAATGGGACTGATAGCTTCCGTAAAGCTAAAAAAAATAAAAGTTGAAAATTACATAAAATAACAGAACTCATTATTCACTAACTCTGAACAAAATATATTTTATCAGAGGCTGTAATATATTAAGTAATCATCTTTTTATGATATAGGTGGTCAGGAAATGCCAGCCAACATAGTAATATGTCAGCTAACGCTCAATAATCAACATAAATCATTAATGGTATCAAAAGATAGATCAAGCTTGAGTTACTTTGTAGGGTCGAAAATGATTCCTTCAATGATCCCCATAGATGATTACGCAATATAGATACAGCCCTCAAAAATATTCATAAATATTAAAGATGAATCAATGACTCACCTGACTGGCATATTAAGTCGCAAGAGAGCAATGTCGTTTATGAAACGTTTTCTCTTCCTAGCGAATTTGGGATGTATAATCGTCTTTTCTACCATAATATCGAGGTGAGGGCGTGCGCATTTAATTATTTTATACAATTGGTCAGGACAATCTTTTATGTCCCATTCTCCCAGACGCACACGAAGGTTATAAGCGTCATTTGAACTTTCACTGGTCACGCAGTGAGCAGCAGTCAGGACGTATCGGGAATTGATTAAAGATCCCCCACAACGAAAGCGGTTTTCCACTCCGTATATCGATATCCTTTCGTACTGAACCAGAGCCATCCAGGGAAATTCTTTGAAGGTTGTCGGTTGTCCGCCTACGATGCGTGTCTCAATCGGAGTATATCCGCAGGAGTCCACAGTTGGAAGCTTGTTTGCCGCTGTTGGACAGCAAACCGATGGGTTTTCGTTATCCCCGTCGCACTTGAATTGACTCAGTTTATGCTTCTTAGGATCTGTAAAAATGTGTTTCTCATTCAAAATTTTACGAATCGGATAACAATCTTTGAGTTGAACGCATTTTTCTCCGAAGACACATTTCTTGAATGCCACTATTTCATTAAAAAGAATTTTTAAATATAAACATAATTAGAAGACATGTAGTTATTGAATTGGAATTAATTCTTAAAAGTTCTTAAAATATAATTAAAATGTAATTACAATTTTTAATCACTTCCTTTTATAATATCTAATAAAATTATTCTAATAATTACCAGTTGGTTCCCGCGAAATAGCTCTCGTGTCAGTAGAAGTACTGACGAAGTAGAAGTACCGAAGAAGAAGTAGAAGTACTATTATCAATTTCGTCCACAAGAGCATATTGACGCTTTGAGGTTTCAACTAAGACTGCCCAAAAAATGTATTTTAATGTCCGAAGTAAGCTCGTTTTCATATTTTTCTATGATTCAGTTGACTATTTCTTATCTCTCCAACACAAATGCAAAATATTAAGAACAATGTTCTCAAGAATTAAGAAAACAAATAATTCTAATGAAATCTGTCTTTAGTTCTTAAAATAACAATGAAAATATTTTTTTTAACTTTAAAAAAAGTTTGATAAATGCTTTTTCTGAAATCATTACCATAAAATTTTTTAAAATTGTTACTAACGGAATCTTTCTTGATTCATGATTATGAAATCGACTGTTAATTTAAACCTACAAATCTAAAATCTATTAATTTAGCTATTAACTATATTTAGCTATTATTAAGATTAACAGATAATAGCTATTCAGATTTATACTCATGCAATGATTTCCATATAAATTCATACTTGAATGGTCCTGATGGAAAAATGATGTCCTAGAGAGATATCCGCCGTGAACGCAAGTCCTGCTATACTCGCTGTTTACGTGAGGGGCCGGTGTGCCGCAGCTTTAAGAGCGCGCCCGCGCTGAAGAGCGCACCAGCACTGAAGAGCGCACCCGCGCTGAAGAGCGCATCCGCGCTCGCCCCTCTTTGCGCTCTCGCTCCTTCGCCGGCCGTCGTCGATCGTAGTATATAGTATGCTGTATAGTTAGTGTCTGCACCCAGTGACCCCTTCAGTCACGACGTACCGGGAATTGATTAAAGATTTTATGCTCTTATGCAAAACTCTACGAAGCGGATCACATCTTCTAAGTTGGACGCATTTTCTCCGAAGACACATTTTTTTAATGCCACTTTTTCGTTTAAATATATATGAAATTGAATGTTACAATTTTAGCAATTCCACAAGAGTCTATCTAGTTGTTTGATTAAAAGGAATTTGTGATTAATTCTCAGAATATTAAATTCTTCGAAATTTCTTCTTTTTTTTTTGTTGAAATGTACAAAACAGATAATTACCAGCCAGTTTCCGGGAAATGATAATTAAAAGTACTATTATTAATTTAATCTACAAGAACATTTTGAATCTCAGAGGTTTCAAGTAAGACTGATCCAATAATATCTTGTAATGTCGAAAGTGAACGTTTTAACTTTTAATGATTCAGCCCACAATCGAGATGCTTCGATTCCAAATAAAAAGAATACAACCATTTTTTTGTACCCTCTGCGGTTTACTAGGAATTAGCTGGCTACAATTCAAATACAAAGGCTTAAAGCTAAGGCCTAGAAGAGGGCTTTTTCTTCCAAAGGACATCAAGAGTGATTCTGATTAGCGGGCTGAGACGGCGTTGGCCAAACTCTGGAAGTTCGTGCTGGAGTACGTAGGTGTGGGGGCGTGGCGTCTAAATCTTGTTGCTGTTGTTCGCGTAGTTGTAGACCTGCTGGAATCCTTCGCCATCGTCACCCTCGCCATCGTCCGAATCATCGGAGTCGAATGTGTTGTCGGGTATGTCGTACAATCGGATGATCGGCTTGTTGGGGTCCTTCATTATCAGATACTTGCCGTCTTTTTGCTTCATCACTAAATCGATAATGCACCGCAGAACGCCCCAGGCATTGTCCATGCTTAGATTGATCTGGGTGGCGAACTCGTGCGGCTTGAACTGCTGCGTGCCCAAAATGACATGGCGGGAGTGATCCCTTGGGTTGATACGCGAGACATAACCCAATTTCAGCTGATCGGAGCCAGCAAGCACGGCCTGAACGGTCCACTTAGCCAGCTTGCAGGCGTTGTTCCTCAATTCGTTGGCCAACACAGCACCACGTTGCGTGTCCAATTTCTGGCGCCACTCCACTCCGTTGGCCAGCTTGGAGTCCCATTCGTTAAGAGCCTTGATAGACATAAACTGCGGTTCGCCGCTGGGAGTCTGCAGAACACCATCGTGTTCGCAACGGGCCACCAAAACCTAAAATAAAGTAAAGAACCATTCAAAGTCTTCAATGGACCTTTTAAAACAGAGGATAACTTACAATGTCGCTTCCCAACTCCCACTTCTTGTACCGGTAGCCTACGCTAGCCACTTGGATGTCCTCGTCCTCACTAATGAAGGGATTGCTCTCCTGGAACTTGAACTTGGCCTCTTGTTCACCGGTCTTGAGCACCTGCTGGCTGAAGTTGTGGTTAATGAAGGTTGCTTCGATGGCCAGGTTGCGGGGCGAGTTGCAAGAGCTATCATCGTCAGTTGGAGGCTCCACGCTGGTTTCATTCACGGTCAGCAGATCGAATTCCGTATGGTCTCGCTTGTCCATGAAGATCTTTTCGCCTGTTAAGGATTAAAATTGATTCATTAAACATTTTCTGATTGATAGAATATTTTTAAATAACTAACCGACTTTCTCGATGACAATATCCCAAGAGTAGTTCGAGCGTGTCGAGCACATAATGGTGGCCAGGATGGCATCCGTGGCAAAGACGTTGCCAATGGTTTTGGACAATCGCCGAATAACTGGGTCGTCGGTGGTGGTGACCGTGTGCACAATGCGATCGATCTTCTGCAGCGGCTTCTCGTTCTTCACGTTAATGCGATCGTAGGTCTTGTCGTAGTATTCCAGCGTTCCGCAAGTAACGATGTCCACGCCCTCCTTGATGTTTGGCAGCGACAGCTTGATCAACCGCGGGAAGTCCATCTCCTCGATGGAAGCCCAGTCGGCGCGCACGGCCACGGATGATTCGCGCATCTTTGGTGGCGGACCACGGTTTCCGAATTTCTTTCCCATGCCACGACGAGGATCGCGTGCCTTCACGTTCTTTCCACTGAGCGTAGTCATGCCGTGGGTGTTGATACCACCACGGGCGTTCCTGCCCCTGCCCGAGCGAGAGTTGCGCATGTTGCGGAATCGTCCCCGCTGGTGAGGCGGCTTCTGGACACGGGCAGTGTCCACCAGGTGGAAGGTGGTCTCATCCTCCTCATGGTAGTACGAGTACTGGTTGCCGGTGCCGAAGGTGGACGCGTACTTATCTGCAAAACATCGATAAAAGCATATTAAAGTAACAATCATCTAGACAGCTGCCACGACACAGGCACATAACCTCACTTTTCGGTATGTTAGTTAAGCGCCCCATGCCTGATTTAACTCACTCTGGTACTTCTTGTCGTTGTTCGAAGTGCTAGTCCAGTCGCAGATCTTGCCCAGACGATCGTTCTTGCTGAACGGCTGGTATGGAACATCCTTAAAGGTATCCGGCAGTTCGCATGGTCCCCATCCCTTTTCGTTGAATTGAACCGTCGGTTTCTCGAACGTCGGAAACTGCGACGCGGTGTTTATGGTCTCGCTCATTTCGCGCTTAGCTTGGTATCGCTCTTTACTCTGATATTTGGGTTTCTGATTCAGCGATCAAACACAAAATACAGAGAAATGGGAAACAATTGTTTCGGTCGCGAGTTGCAAAAAAGAAGGAAAGGTAAGTGCTGCCAGATAGTTGAAGTTAAAAAATGTTGGTCACACTTTGAAATCTATCTGGCCAGTAGGAAGGCATTTAGTGTTGCCACTTCCGTGTGGGAGAGCCACTTGACGAAAGTTATCGAAAATTTCAAATTTAAATTCGTTTTATCAAACAATTTTTGTTGTTTATTAGGAGATTTTAAGTTATACCACTTTAAAACAAATATTATAGAGTTACTTCTCCCCAAATGTTTAAACATTTTAAAAAGAAAAATTTGAATATCGGCTTAGAATTGACAAAATGAAGCTTTTCACTTTTCTTCACTTCTTTTAGAGAAAACTTGACGAAATGTTTTAAGGAAATATTTTGATTAAGGTTTTGACGCAGATTGGTGGAAAATCTATCTACAAATAGATTAAGGTATTCCGTTGAATATTGGCAAAGATATATCTTTCGCTGGAGGTCATATAGTGCTTGCTATGAATTTACACATTTTAGAAAGGGATCACCTAGAAAATTTGACGAAAAATGTAAAATAAAAATATATGTTTCAAATAAATTGGTCATCCATGCAGTTTTCACAATTTTTGAAGGGGATCCTCCAGAAAATTTGACGAAAAATCTAAAAAATATTTTGTCCTTAGATTTTGATGCAGATTGATGGAGAATCGATCTACAAATCGTTTGAGGCATTCCGCTTAAGAATCGGATAGAAATTGGCCAAGATATAGCTTTCGCTGGGGCCAAATTGGTCATCCAAGCAGTTTTCACAATTTTTGAAGGGGATCGTCCAGAAAATTTGACGAAAAATCTAAAAAATATTTTGTTCCTAGATTTTGATGCCGATTTATGGAGAATCGATCTACAAATCGTTTGAGGTATTCCGCTCAAGAATCGGATAAAAATTGGCCAAGATATAGTTGTCGCTGGGCCCAAATTGGTCATCCATGCGGTTTTCACAATTTTGGAAGGGGATCGTCCAGAAAATTTGACGAAAAATCTAAAAAATATTTTGTCCCTAGATTTTGATGCAGATTTATGGAAAATTGATCTACAAATCGTTTGGGGTATTCCGCTCAAGAATCGGATAAAAATTGGCCGAGATATAGCTGTCGCTGGGGCCAAATTGGCCATCTATGCAGTTTTCACAGTTTTTGAAGGGGATCCTCCAGAAAATTTGACTACAAATCTAAAAAATATTTTGACCCTAGATTTTGATGCAGATTTATGGAAAATTGATCTACAAATCGTTTGAGGTATTCCCCTCAAGAATCGGATAAAAATTGGCCGAGATATAGCTGTCGCTGGGGCCAAATTGGCCATCTATGCAGTTTTCACAGTTTTTGAAGGGGATCCTCCAGAAAATTTGACGAAAAATCTAAAAAATATTTTGACCCTAGATTTTGATGCAGATTTATGGAGAACCGATCTACAAATCGTTTGAGGCATTCCGCTTAATAATCGGATAGAAATTGGCCAAGATATAGCTATCGCTGGGGCCAAATTGGTCATCCAAGCAGTTTTCACAATTTTTGAAGGGGATCCTCCAGAAAATTTGACGAAAAATCTAAAAAAATATATGTTTCATGGTTTTGATGCAGATTGATTGAGAATCGATTTACAAATCGTTTAAGGTATTCCGCTGGAGAATCGGATGAATATTGACAAAGATATAGCTTTCGCCGGAGGTCCTATTGTGCTTTCCATGCATTTTCCCATTTTGAAGGGGATGCCCTAGAAAATTTGACGAAAAATCTAAAAAAATATAGGTTTCATGTTTTTGATGCAGATTGATAGAGAATCGATCTACAAATCGTTTACGGTATTCCGCTTGAGAATCGGATAAATATTGGTAAAAATATAGCTTTCGCTGGAGGTCCTATTGTGCTTCCCATACATTTCCCCATTTTGAAGGAGATGCCCTGGAAAATTTGACGAAAAATCTAAAAAACATATATATTCAAAGTTTTGATGCAGATTGATGAGAAATAGATCTACAATTGATCAATATGAGGATGAATATTTTCAAAAAGATGTTGTAGGTATATGTGGGAGGTAAGAAATCTTGAACGCTTTAGAATGTTATGCTCTTCAGTTTCTCTTTTTATTTTAAAGTTCCCAAAGCCAACTTTCTAAAAGTGTATAAAAATTCAGCGCTTAATACATGTGTAAAGGTAGATCATCTTTTTAAATACGGGTGGTCCTATAATTTGCAAGACTCCTGGGGCAGGACTAAAGTTTCCATGAATTAAATGCTATTCAAATAACTTCAATTGGCGCCGTAGAATTCCGTGCCAATTGAGTACGAGCTCTGCACCAGGATGTTTGGTTTGTTCCGAAAAATAAGTGCCTCCAAAGTGTCTGAGGTAATTCTACGTGGTTTGTTTCAATACGCAAAAATACTAGGCGTCATATTCTTCAAACCTAATAAGTCAAAAAATGGATTTTTTGAGATGAGCTGCTTGCGTCCTTTATGGAAGTGGACAATCTTCACTTGCCAACTAATCCTTCTTACCTTCTACATCTACAATTACATTTTATGGACACTGGATAGAAACGATTCGCTTGACCAGGTGCAAAACTATAAAAGCCTACTGCTTTCCGTGTGGAGCTTTTTGGGACTCATTGGTGTGAAAATCATTTATGGAAAAGAGGTGATAAAATTGGTCAACAGATACCTGCGCATTTTCGGTCGCGTTAGAGCCCTGCCGCTGCAGAAGAAAATTGGATTCGGCACCGGTAAAGAGTTGTTTCTGATTCTTTTAACACTGTGCTGTCAATGCCATGAGTTCTTCTTCTATTCGGAAACATTATTATATGATCATACCTTTGTGGATATCATGGATTGGTTCTCATATGTCTATGTGGTCACCGTCAATCACATCATGATGAGGATTCATTTCTTCTGGTACCTCAGTGTGGGTGTTCTGTATTCTGACCTAAATGAATACGTCCTTGTAGAGGTGAAGAACCTAATGTTTCCTCAAAGAAACCAGAGAAAAACACTTCGTCGATTGGAGGAATGTCTTAAAATTTACGAAGAAATTTCTTCCATTACCAGCAGTTTCCAGGACATATTTAATTTTCATCTGTTCTTGACTCTGATGCAGATATTTTTCTACGTCTCTGTTTACTCGTACGACATGATCCAGTTTTTGGATTTTCATGACATCTGGAGGTGGGGATTTTTTCTAAAAATTATAATGGATTTCCTACTATTAAGTGTGGCTATCCATGGAGCCGTAAATCAATTCAAGGGCATCCGAGGTCTCCATTTTGAAATGTCTGGCTTTGGGGCATGCCTAGAATGGCAAAAAATGGTGAGCGGATTCCAAAAAATATTAACTAAAACGGAAACTTATCATAGTTACTTTTTCCAGGTAGAAGTCTTTCTTAGTCATCTAAATCAGTTCGAGCTAAGAGTCACCATTTTGGGTCTATTTGACGTTTCCATGGAATTTTATTTGGAGATTGCATCTGGAATTGTTACCTATTTAATTTTTGTCATACAAACTGTAATGCAGCTGGAAAATGAGGAAGAAAATGTTTAGGACATTAATAAAGGTTAAAAGGTTGTTGTTCAATTGAGATTCAGATAGCTTGTCAACGTTTTGTGTCAACTGAACAAATTGAGGTGCCATCAAAGTATGCATCAGCAATTGCTCAATCCATTTTTCCCCACCAATTTAAGGGCCATTCGTGTCCTAGTCCTTCACAAAATGAGTGCATCCAAAGTTGCATCGGTAATCATACTCGGATGGTCATACTATAGCAGATTCATAGGCCTACTCTTCTACCGCGTCAACAAGTCAATCGATGGACTTCTAGAAATAAAAGAAACTGTATTTATTTCTTCTTGGTGGAAGAGAATAATGACCGCGATATTTCGCTTACTTCCACTTTGTTTCCATTTCCAAAGATTTTATATTTTCATCACACCAATAGACGATGTTCTTGATTCAATACTGCACTGGACTCAACTTATATTGACTACTCTTTGCTATTTGGGATTAACGTTCTTGGATCTTTTCCACGGCCCAAAGGTAATCAAATTGGTCAACAGATTTGTTAAACTCCACCGACGTGTGGAAGGCTTGGGTCTTCAAAACAGAACTGGAGTGAAATTTGGAAACAGAGAATTTTTTTTACTACTCATGACAGTATTTTGTATGATTCATGAAATAGTCGCATTTATTCATGTCTTAAATGTATCAATTGCATGGGCCACTCATAATTATATTTATGTTGCGTGTCACACAATTTTGAGGATTAATTTTTTCTGGTACCTTAGTATAACCAATTTGTATTTCGAAATTAATGAATATATATCAACATTTCAACAAAGAAGCTTAAAAGAGTTAGAGCTGGCTCTTAGTCTTCATAAAGAGTTATCAATTTTAAATGGGAGATTTCAGACCATTTTTAACTCATATTTATTTATTTGTATGTTAAACGAAATCACTTTCCTTATTGTTTTCTTAAATGACTTTTTAATGAAACCAAATTTTGTAAGTCTTTTCCATGTTAGTTTGATGGTTAAAGGTTTCATAGAATTTTTGCTCATTACTCTGTCCATTCATGGAGCAGGGAAACAATATCAAAATATTCGCGAGTATATTTCGGAGATAAGTTACATTTGCGAACTTGAAGATTGGCAAAGAATAGTAAGTACTTTATTAAAACTATTAAAAACTATTCATTGCAACTTGTTATTACAGGCGGAAGTCTTCATAATACAACTAAATCTGTACGAGTTCGGGGTCTGCATTTTTGTTCTTTTTAATGTAACACAGGAGTTGTTTCTTGAAATTACATCTGCAATGATTACATATACGCTATCTTGTATTCAAGGTGCATTAAAAAGCAAAAAATAATTGGAGGTTTATTTTAAGAACTCTATTCACAAAGAAAGGTCCTTAAACATAATGCTTCATTTGCAACACCAATTTGCTGGATTAAATTTATAATAAATCTATCATTACTTGTCATATAAATGCCTTTTAATATCCGTATACTAACATATGATACATGAATCTTCTACTTTTTCAAGTATTAAGAGTGCAAAAAATGCAGTGGTTAATTAAGATAATCTTTAGTGGAACTTGTAATTTCTGAAACTCCAGGGGAAGAATTGAAGTTTCCAATAACTGAATTTTATTCAAATAAATGTAAAGGGCAGTCATGCTTCTTGTCAATCGAGTACGAGTTGTGCAACAAAGTGTTGCTTCTGTTTCGAAAATAAGCAACCATTTTTGGTCTGATTCTATGGAGTTTTATGTTTAATATCCATATACTTAATGAATAAAATGAATGATTGTTGTTTATGAATTTGCCTATGTTAAACTGTTATGCAGTTGAAAAAATTATAGAGAAAATGTTCTAGACATTAATAAAAGTGGAATAGTTTTTATTTGAGTGAGATTCAGATAGCTTGTCATCGTTTATTGTTTACGTTATTGTGTCAACCTTACAGACTGTAGTGACATATTATTAGCAATTACTCAATTCACTTTGCTACGCCAATATTGGAGTCATTCGAGTCCTAGTCCTGCCCACAATGAGTGCATCCAAAGTTGCCTCGGTAATCCTGCTCGGCTGTTTCTACTACTGCAGACTCGTGGGCCTACTCTTTTACCGCATCAACAGATCAATCGACGGACTTGTAAAAATAGAAGAAACTTCATTCATTTCTTCTTGGTGGAAAAGAATAATGAATGTGATTTGCCGCTTAATTCCAATTTGTTTTAATGTCTGTTACTTTTATGATTGCATTAAATCAGTTGACGATTTTCTGGATTCAATAATGCACGGGTGTCAACTTACGTTACTACTATTTGCTATTTGGGACCAATTAGTGAATTGGGCGTTTTACTCTATGTCTTAAACGGAGCAATTGGTTGGGCGGTTCTAAATTATGTTTATTTTGTGTGCCACTTAATCTTAAGAATTAATTTTTTCTGGTACCTTAGTGTGAGCATTTTGTATCTCAAAATTAATGAATACATGTCAACCATTCGGCAAAAAACCATAAAACAACTAGAACATGCTCTTACACTTCATAAGGAGGTATCCATTTTGAATGGAAAATTTCAGACCATTTTTAATGCATATTTAATCCTTAGCCTGTCGACCGAAATTCTAGGTATTATTAACTTCTTAAAGGACTTTATGTTGAAACCAAATTTTATAAATTTCTTTTCCTTAAGTTTGGTACTTAAGTCTTCTGTAGAATTTTTGTTTATTACCCTGCCCATTCATGAAGTAGGGAAACAATATCAAAAAATTCGCGAGTATATTTTGGAGATAAGTTGTATTAGCGAACTTGAAGATTGGCAGAGAACTGTAAGTGTTTTATTAAAATTTATGAATCTGGCTTTATAATCACTTCTTTACAGGCAGAGGTCTTTATTATACAACTTAATCTATACGAGTTTAAGGTCTGCATTTTTGGTCTTTTTAATATATCTCAGGAACTGTTTCTTCAAACTTTCTCGGCAATGGTTACATATATACTATCTTGCTTACAATTGGCTTTAAGAAACAGAAAATTATAAGAAGTATATTTTGAAAACTTTAATTAAGAAGAAATGTCCTTAAACTTATAGCTTGATTTTATTGTCTTAAGACTATAAATAATCATAAACTTGATAAAGAAATTATTAAAATATTTTAGACTCTTTGTTTGAATAAAATTCGGACAGGTGGCACTTAAGGGCAGGTGTTAAGGCTTTTGTTGAACTTTTTCTTATATTTCGCACAAAACATGACATCAAAATTGTCCGAGAGCTGTTCGGACTCATGGGCATCGTAAATCTGAAACGTGAACAGGTAAGATACATGCTGTCAGAAGTTTGTTCAAATCAACTCACATTATCCAAAGCTATAGCCGGCACTCCATTAAATGAGACCTTGGCCGTCTCCTGGCGGTACTTGGCCAATATCTCGTTGACGGAACGGGTTGCCTTGCATTTCTTTACATCGCCCACATCGATTTTGTAGCGGTCAGCGCACTTGTCCAGTCTGTTCCTCTTGCCCCTCATCATGCAGGCGATCAGTTTGAAAGATTGAGTGACGTTGTGGTGCTCCAGTATGCATCCATGCCAGGCATTTAGCTCGCACTCATCTACCCCGTGCTGACAAACGACATTTCCGGCATCGTCGAGCTAAAATTGCATGGGATTAAGTGGCGATTATGTCTGATAACTATTTTTATCGCTGACTCGGAAAGCCAAAATCATTTGAATACATATCCCACCTTGGCATTTCCATAGGGAACTAGAGTTAGCTCCGTAAATGGTAAAAGGTTCAGGCGCATCATCGCGGGTAAGAGTTGCGAGGTGACGAACTCCCTGCAGTAGGGACACAAAGCCTCGTAGTACAGTGTCACTGGCAGCTTGTCACGCACTGGTCCACGACGCTGTTAGATGCCGTTAATTGTGAAATAAATTCCAAATCATCCAAATCAATTCAATTGGGACACTTACCTTAGCAGTGGCCACGGCTACAAAGCCCAGTATCAGCAGGCAGACATTGAGGAATGCTTTCATTGCAAGTTTGATTTAAAAATGGAATTTTCTGTTGATCTTGAAATTTTAAACTGCTCAACGCCACCGCCCGGTGAACACTAAAATAAAGTCTGGATTGGATGAGCTTTGTCACTGGAATTTATCAATTCGAAATGAGGCAGAGGCTTAGGCAAAAAGCAGGGGGAAACAGGGGTATTGTAACAATATATTATTATTAAATAATTAAAGTATTAACTGATTAACTTAGTTGAATCTCATGGGTGCTTTTAATTTCTTATTGTTTTCAACAATAAAACCTCAAGCTGTCTCTGAATATTTTTAAGATGATGACTTATTTCCTCTTAAAACCATAAAGACTAGACCCCTTGGGATTCGACGTCCCTGCTGATAGGAAGCATTTCCCTGAGACATCAAGCTGCGTTCATTTGTGAGTATATTCCGACTGCGTCAAACCAAAACAAAGACCGAAAATCCCGAACACAGCGAACATTTACCTCTGGACACTGAACAGAGAAGCACAGCGGGTTTAATCTTATTTATAGCTGGTTAGACAGCTGTTCCTGATTAGGATCGGATCTGTGTACCAAAGCAGCTGATAACCTGATCTATTTAAATTTCTATTTTACTTTCGTCAAGAGGCTGAGTCAGCTAAAAGGCAAACACTTTCGTCCAAGCTGGCCAGTGGAGTATAATTATTATTTATTGGTTTAGGGACATTAAAAAGCATTACTCATCAAGATACAGACATTATTAAAAATCTAGTCGCATGTAGGCAGTTTAATATTGAACTTTTTCAAGTACTCCTTGCAGAAGAAGCGTTCAAAGTTGTAGCGGATGCTGCTTTGCTCATAGGGATTAAAATCCTAGGAAGTACAAAGAATATTGTTTATGATATTTTTATGGAATTTGAATATAAGTTGTCTTACATTTTCAAACACAATGCTTGGCACAAAGGAGATGCCTAGTTTTAGAGTTTCTTTTCCATAGGGGGCCAAGATTTCTGGGGTTTTACGAGACGCCTTACATTCCCGGGCTTTGCTAACATCGAGATTTAATTCTCTGGAGCATTTATTTAATTGATTGCTGTAGGATCTTAGCATGCAGTAGATCAACTTAAAGGCATTTTGGATATCCAAGGTCTCGATAATGCAGGCATGGAGGGCATTCAGTTCGCACTCTTCATCGCCATGCTGGCAAAATACTTGAAGTTCTCCTGTTGCTGTATTGTTATAGAACTGGAATAAGTTTGGGAATAATTTTTAATTAAAAATATCATTATAAAATAGGCGATAATAAATTCTGTCATCACATACATATATCTTTTGGTAAATAAAAGTTTATTTATTGGGATCAAAATAGCACAAGCATTAAAATGGATATTATTAGGTTAATAGCTTAGATGACTTGTTCCAATTCTCTTTGTAAACACAAGTGTTTTTGGTTCAAAATAAACAAATGATTAAATTGGAAAAATTTGTTCAAAATAGTTAATAGTTAATATACGACAAAGAAATGGTTATAGGAAACTTACCCCAGCCTTCCCAAAGGGATATAGCTTTAGGTCAGTGTTTGGCCACCAGTTATAGCTATTCAGGGCATCGTACAACCTTCGGCGGATAAAGTACATACTGTCTGGACACAGGGCTTCATAGTGTATGGCCAACAGCAGTTTTCCCGGGGATGGTGGCGTCGTTGTCGATGTTGGGGTCACTTCGGTGACATTGCCTGGGCGCTCGACTGTCTTTCCAGAAGCGAAAGATATGAGCAGCACGCTCAGGGCACAAAGAACCCCACATATTTTATTCATTGTCCGCGTTTCAGTTCCCGCTCTTGACAGCTTCACAAACCAAACACAACTGCTCTTTCTGATTTACCCATTTCGTATCTCTATATGTGTCTCTCTATGTAAACAATCCCGCGTATTTTTATATATCACGTCCGTACATAGGCCACATAAGCTAAATGTATATAGTAGCTTCTGTTTTTATGCAAATTATTTCTCTCCCTCTCAAAAGAACCAGAGCACTACAGGAGAATTCTCTTCAAATATCAAAAAATCGTGGGGCTAACTGATTTATCACTAATCTTTAATCAGCTGAATCGTCCACGTCGCTTCACCCAATGAACTTTTACGTTGCTGATGGGAGATTTTGGGAATTTTAGCAAATTTTAGTAATTAGGCATTATAGCTTGTTTTTAATATTTAAATGCATAAAGGTAATTGTTTGGATTCTAGTTATTGGTTCTTCGGAAAATATAGAAAGATATGAATTGCTTGATTTTCTTACCTTAAATGTGTTCTTAGAAAGTTTCGAATTTCTTTCGCTTCAAACCCTCAGAAAAATATCTGGGTTGATTACCAAAAATCTGGAAAGAATTTCTTTAAAACCAAAACAGTACGCAGTCACATCCCTTGAAATCCGTCAGGTGGAAAATAGGTTAATGGCCAAAACCGTATGAGTAGCGCAATTAAGTGTGTCGCCTGTGGTGGCCGGTAGGCATTAACAATTCATAAACAGCGAGCTTATCAACAATTTAAAGCGTAACAAGTTCAGTGCACTGTCATGTCGCTAATTGACAGACCGGCAATGGCTCCATTTTGGTAGCGTGCCTTGGAGGCCGGTCCAAAACGGTTGTTTAGCTTTTTTTGTTTACCTTTTTTTTATGCTGTTGTTTATTATTATTTTTGTTGCTGTTGGTGTATTTTGTGGCTAGAAAACCAGTTGGTGGCGCGTATATAGATGTAACTGTCGCCCAAGATGGCTTGCACAACCTGCAGGCAACCGGCAAGTGAATGCCATTGACCATCGTCCGAACGTGAACGCTAACGTGGCCGACAAGTTTAGTTGAGCAATTTCAATTTCTAACTAATTTTCTATGCCTCTTAATTGCCAGGAAAATGTTTGGGATTGTTGCCGGCAGCATTTATGGGCACGTCATCACAGCACATCGTGTTTCATGGTCAAGGTTTGCACGCAAGAATGCCTCGGGGGCTCCCCGGACATGCCAACCAAAATATTTACGAACAACCAAGTTTTGAACATGTCTTTCAACTCTATTTTAGCCGAAAGCGTATATTTGGAGGCTGGGCTATAGGTTTTGGTGATTAATTAATAAACTTTAAGCCTATCTTTCTCAGAACTAAAGCTCTGAAGTTCCTGACTAAGATCTTTTGATTTATCTGTGAATATTTTCAAAGATTTTGTAATTTTGTATTTAAAAACTTTTTACTGTGCATCTATGGCATCGTTAATTGCGCAGGTGCAGCAGCCAGAAAGTCCATCCTTGAGGAACAACTTCCCATCCAGAGACTATGAAAGCGAGAGATGAAAAAGCGACAGTAGTTTTTATGACGCGCCTCACAGATTTCCGTACAATTAATTGGCTAGAGAGACCCCACTGGCCCCAGACCCTGGTATTTCATAGTGTTGCAGCTGCAGTTAACCCAAATTGCTTCTTGCTGACCAATTGGGCTGGCCAGCTCGTAGATCACATAGCCTGAAAAACACTTTTGCAGCCTCCCGGCAATGGCACGACTAACGTTTAACTCCGGTCTCTGATTTGCGTCTTAGAAGCGGAGTTTAAGCCGCCGGGGTCTCTGAATCAGAGTCTCGAGTCCGTTCCAGTTTCTGGAGTCGTTTATTGTACTTCTTTTTTGCTTCTTCTAATTTGCATTTTTATAGATTCGCCAGTTTTTGGTTGGTGTGTCTAGATTTGATGCCAAATTCTAAGGGTATTCTTGTTTGGACCCAAAAGTGGGTAAAGCCCTGATTAAAAGAACATAAAATTTTAATGGATAATGTCTTGCTAAATTGGAGCATTCGATTTTATAGTTTGTAGATAATTTCTATTAAAAACTAGTCTTTGTAGTTTAGCTTTAAGCCTAAAGGGTATTGAGAGTCTCGACATACCATCCTTAATTTTCTCTGTTTTTAGCTGTCCAATTTTTCTGGCGTTGCCTGTTCTTGTTGCAACATTTCAACCGCAAACCAATGAAGCCATGTTAGCCGCGTTTTATTGTTGGCTTTGTTTCTCGTCGATCTCGTTGCCGAAAACGCATTGAGCCAAACATTAACCCATGGCCAGAAAGAAATTCGTAAGAGTATGTCTTCTAAAAAAAGAAAAAAATTATATCTAGTAAAATAATACATTTTTAATCTATTTTAAGAACTAATAGCCATTAATCATTGTTTCTTGATGTCAAAAAACTGTTGATGAGCTCACACCAGCCATTAAATTGTCGGGAATCTTATCTTCCTGGTTTGATTGAACTTGTTTTGCAAGGGAAAGTTGTGTTCAGACTTTACACATGCTTTAAAAATACCTGCTTTTGTTTTCGCAGAGTTCTTCGGTTATTTATAAAACAATTAACGAACGTAAGAATCAAACGTGACTCAGGGAAAGGAGTATGGGTGACTTTCCACCAACTGGCGTACGGTGGTGTTAAGCATTGCTTTCGGTGGCTGCTTTCCGAAAGAGAGGCTTTAGTGGGTCACGGTGGACCAGTTTTGCAGTTTTTTCATTTGCCAGACTGGTCAGGAAGAAATTTCGTTGCATATAATTTCTTTTCTCTTTTGCGTGTGCAGAGAAAACAAAAATTACCTGGAAAATAACATGACTTCTACTTACAAAATAATGAAACCACTGGATTCAAAATAATCTTCATTGAGTCATATTCTCTTGAGGTAGTATATAAAGGCTTAACAAAGCGTTTCTCTGAAGGTATTTTCTTGATTTTCAAAGCACTTTTTTCAATTTAATGTCCGTTATAAACTGGAAACGGTCAAGATCTTTTCTACCTCCAATTCTTAAGCTCCCCATGCTGCGATCAGTCCACGTCGGAGCAACGTGTCTGGGCATCTAATTGTGCATCCCCAATGCGAGATGATTTCATATGCAAATTATAGATGGTAATGCCCGATTTCCGCCGACCCATTAGCATTGTCAATTTTTATGATTTTATGAGACGGCCAGTCTCGGGGCTCTCGGCCACATCATAATCCAACTCCATGGGGATTGCCTCATCGTTACACATTTCTCGGGTATTACATGATGATATTCATCAGCGTCTGCCTGCTTTGCTCCACTCTTCGGCTCGCGTGCAAAGGCCTTATAAAAAGTGGGCATAGCTGGGGCAATCGAATCCCAGATGCTCTGCCCGGCTGCGGTTTGCAATGAGAATCGTTTCGAGATGGTTGCCACGAGATTAGCAGTTTCGGCTAAGCTGATTTAAATTGCCAGTTGAACGAATTTTCAATTGTTCACTCGGAACTCGGATTCATGGAAAAGCATTATAAAGTTTTAGGTGCAACTCATATTGTCCGTGAACTATCTTATTTATTCATCTAATTATGCCAAGAGCTTATTAAGCTTCATGAAAATTACCTTAAAATTTAAACTTTTATGTTCATATAAAAATTGTTCATAAAAATCTTTATAATTCCACCAATCCGGCAATGAAAATTTTCCACGAAAAGATTCCTGTTTAAAAGTCCGGTTCAACTTTCAACTTGTCCGTTCAATGGTTTGACATTCGCTTTTGGCTAAAATAATCCGCTTACCAAGTGGTTCAACTAGCTTGGTCAACCAACCAGTTCGGATTACCCTTTCCATTTTCCTGTTGGCTGAGAGTGTTCCTTTACATAATTAGCGGTCATTGCATTTACTTAAATGATTCATAATTCTTACCATAATTTCACGCCTGAAGCTATAGCCCCTTCTAAAGTGATCACTATAACCAAAGTACTTTATAAGTGCAACAATAACCCAACAGGGTATCGTCAACAAAGCTCTGCCGCACATGCAACCAAGCATGGACCTTACAAATGACGCCACAATACCGCAAAATGCCGAAAATGCATTTTCACATGCAGTCTGAATCCGAGGGAAATAAATCTCATAGTTTTCCACTTACCACTCCATGCAGTTGTCAACTTTGACATTCCAAATCGGCCCCGGGAAAGATTCAGGGATTCATAAAAAAAATTTCGCAAACCTTTTTTGTCCACAGATTCAGTTCAATGTAAATGTATTTGTATCTGTAACTGTTACTGGCGAATAGAGAACATTATCTTGTAGCTTTTGCGCTTTTTTCGCATGTATCTAGACCATGTGGCGACGGATGAGCTGAGGGCTAGCCGGGAGGTTGAAACGGGTTCTGATGTGTGCGGTAATGTTCCATTTCCATTTCCTAGCGCGGCAAGCGAAACCTTTTTTATGGCATCTGGTAATTGAGTGCAATACCCGGCCAAAAGGTGAGAGGGAAGCGATCGCTTCGCAAACAGTTAGTTCCGATGCCAATAACCCGACAGGTCCGAATGACGCACGCCACACCACCAAGCCAGTATCGTAAATCTTGGTCGCTGTCCATACAGATACAGATACCGTAAAGAAAAGATACACCTTCTAAATAGGGCTGACTTCAGACTCGGGTAGATAATGCGATTAAGTGTTATACGCAACTATTTATTTATAATTATCGTATAATTGTGGGGCACACTGAGTGCTCAAAATAACACTTGATTCAAAAATTGGGGGCACCACCATCGGGCACAACTTTTTAGGGCACCGACGACAGATGGTGGGTTTTTTAATTGGATTGAGCGGTGAATAGAGAGCAAAGTGTTCTATGGGGTATACGAATGTTGTTGGTGGGGGTACACATGTTGGTGGGACATATACCAAGTGGAAAGGCAAACAGCGAATTGAAAACATTACTCGCACTTGGGGAAAATTCTGACGTAAACCCTTTGACTTAGATCATTTCATTTAATTATATGTGTTCTGTAAAAAGTTTAATTATCTAAAGTGCTTTGCCATCTAATTTGTTTAATTCTAAAAAATGGAGACATCCCGTCACCCCACATTTTAATTCAGT